GAAAAAATTCAAAATTTCTTATTTATTTTTTACATTTTAACAATTTTTGGTGCCTTATGAGACTTTTTTAAGGGAGGAAGGATGAAATTCAGATTTACAACAATTTGTTTTTCTACTGTTGCTTTTATTTAATTTTTTTGGTCTTGTCTTTTTTTTTTTTTTTTTTTTTTTTTTTTTTTTTATCGATACCAGGGATCAAACTCACAACTGCTCGCTTGCAAGGCAGGCGCTTATACAGCTGTGCTAAATCCCAGCCACGGGTGCTGTTTTTTTGAGATAGGGTTTCACTATGCAGGTGAGGCTGGCCTTGAACTCACAGTGATCCTCCTGCCTCAGACTCCCAAATGTTAAGATTATAGACACACACCACCAACTCTAGCTATATGCTGTTTTTAATAGCAAAACTTTACTGACAATTTTTCAACAATACAGACTCAGCTCACTAAATCACACTCTACTATACGGGACTTATAATTCCAAAGGCAACAGGTGCAGCTGTTGAAGCAGCTTGCACAATGTTTCTATCAATACAGATACTTATACCCACTGGTACAGGAATGAAGCACAGTACCAGGTGTTCAGAATCACATGAAGTGGTTTTTAGGGTCTGGTTTTATTACAATATATAAATAAATACTTGCTGGGTATAGTGGCACACACCTGTAAACCCAGCATGTGGAAGCTGAGACAGGAGGATTGCCTGGGCTACATAGTGAGACCCTGTCTCAAAACCAGCAAACAACAATATACAAATAAATACTAAATGTATATATACTGTATGATATACATACTAAATTTGTAAGTACACTAGCTATAGTATATTATATATACATGAGATGTGATCTAAAAATATGGTGACTTTTTAAACAATTGATAATCAATTTATTAAAATAGTTGCCTTAAGCAACTACGATGGTGGTTTCAACCTGCAATCCTGACTAAATACTGATGGAAGTAATCTGTTTAACAATCTAAGAAAGAATGTAAAAATCAATAGGTCACCTGTGGATTCTTATCTGGAAATAATCCCATGTTTTAGAATCTTAATCATTGGGCTGGAAATTTAGATCAGCATGGGGGCTGATCTAAATTAGCTCAGCGGCATAAGCACCTGCCTTGCAAGCAGGCACTCGTGAGTTCGATTCCTGGTACCGATAAAAATGAAAAAGGCCAAAAAAAAAAAAAAGAAATTTAGATCAGCAGCATAAGCGCCTTCCTTGCAAGTGTGCAGTGGTGAGTTCGATCCCTGGTACCGATAAAAGTGTGCAGTGGTGAGTTCGATCCCTGGTACCGATAAAAACGAAAAAGACAAAAAAAAAATCTTCATCACAAGGCCTTTTTCTTGTAGTGATTTGTTGTAGTCAGAGGTTATAATCAGAGCAAGACAATAGAGGATACATCATTTACAGTATTATTTATGATAGTCACCCTGAGTCACATACAAAGAAAATGCAGGAAAACTTTCCACAAAGTAAAGACCTAGAGAATCCAGCCGCGGGCCAGGATCCCATGGCAATATCCTGCATGAGTCCAGCTGAAAACCTAAAGCCCATAACAGTGCCTCCCACAAGTCCAGCTGGAGGCCTAGAGGCCATGACAGTGTTTCACGCAAGTCTATTTCACACATCTGCACTGGGAAGACCTCAAGGGTAGTGGTAGAAGCTAGAAAGTCTACAGTAGCGGGATGAAGGATCTGTGCCAGCAGGCTGAGGGATCTGCCCTACAGCTAGGAAGCAATTCTCAAAATAAGGATCCTGACCCTGAAAAGTACCATAGCCATCCTCAGCAACAACGAGGTCCCAAGCTCCTCTGATGATAACAGCCAAGTTCCTATCAGTGACCAACTTCTGTAGATTGAGCAGCACAACATCTTTCCCTCCAGATCAATGAAACCATGGTCAAAGTGAGGACCAGAGCAACTCCAAAGTGAACCACAGCCATTCTCAGCAACAAGGTCCCAAGCTCCTTTGACAATGAAAATGACCAAGTTCGTATCAGGAAAGAAGCTCAGCAAGTCCCTCCAGGACACCCCAAAGGAGAACCAATACCACCACGGAGAACTAGCAACACTGAACTCTTCCTGTCCAGTTTGCCCCAACCTTGCCTCAGTACCAGAAACTGAACTTGTGACCCTGAGCCTGCCAGGCAGGCACAGTACTGCTGAGCTAAGTCCCTGGACCCCCAGTTCCCTTTATACGTTGGCATCAGTCCCCAGGTGGGCCTTCCACACTCAGCACCATGCTGGTTCAGGTCAGCTGGTATTACATGTGGACCATCACTTTTCAATCTGCTACGTGATTCTCAAGGTCATAGCAGGCGTGTGAATGGGTGCTTCACTCTGAGGTTCTTTCCCTTTGCAGCTCCATCAAGTCAGCCCACATCTTTTCCAGCAGTTTCACGCTGCAGCTGGTGAAGGTAATCCTAATCCACTTAGCCACCTCCTTGGGTCCACAGGTGTTTTTTTCTGATATCTTTAAACGCCATGGAGGAGGCACTGCTTCCTGACCAACTTGTTCCTCAGCAAGCAAGTCAGGAGCAGGAGTGGATGTTCCTGAAGCCCACCACACCCACTGCCACCTATTCCTCAGAAAGCTGGTGAGCATTTATACTTTAAAACATTTATTACAAAGGGCTGGGGATTTAGCTCAGTGGCATAAGCGCCTGCTTGCAAGCAGGCAGGTGTGAGTTCCCTCCCTGGTACGGGTAAAAAGAAAAAAGACCAAAAAAAAAAAAAAACATTTATTACAGTAAAAGACACATTGTTATTCATCTCCTTCAAATACTCCCTCTCCTTATCTCATCATTCTTACCCTATTCTGAAGTGGTTCTGAAAGACTTAGTTTATTTCAAGGTGTTGTTAAAAAATACAGTGAATCTGCCTGGCAAGCCTGAGGTCATGAGTTCAATCCCTGGTACAAAAAATAAAAAATACAGAGAATGATGCTGCCAAGTGCCATCTGTCCAGTGGAAATGCAGCCTTGAGGAAACATTACATGTGTCTTTATAATTACAATAAAAATTTAAACATTCACAGTACTTTCCAGTCATTCTGTGTGTGTGTGTGTGTGTGTGTGTGTGTGTGTGTGTGTGTGTGTTGGGGCTGGAACCCAGTGCCTGATGCATGCTAGGCAAGCACTTTACCGCCAGGCTACATTTCCAACTCTTTTTAAATTTCATTTTGAAACATGGTCTCCCACTAGGTTCCCCAGGCTAGCCCCAAACTTGTTCTCAGCCTCCTCAGCAGTAAGATTCACAAATGTCTGTTACTCTGCCTGGCACTTAGTATACTGCAATGTTGTACAATCATCACCTCTATGTAGTTTCCAAACATTACCACTTCCAAAGATGGCCCTAAGTCCTCTTGACACTTACTAGTCATGCTCTCTCTTTCCAGTCCCAGGCAATTATGGTCTTTAGGGACTTCCCTTGTATTAGTCAGCTTTCAAGGGTGGGGCAAAATACTTGAGAGAATCTCCTGAGAAAGGAGGAAAGCCCCATGATGCCACACACCCGCCATCCCAGCACAGTGGAAGGTTGAGCTGAGGAAGAAGAATCAAAAGTTCAAGCTTAGCCTGCGCAACTTATGGACTCGGTGAGACTTTGTCTAAAAAAAAAAGCTGAGTATGTAGCTCATACAAAGGTTCAATCCCTAGTAACATGAACATCCACGCACACAAACACACACACACACACGCATGCATGGAGAAAAGGTTTCTTTTGGCTCACAATTTCACATTTCCATCCATAGTCCCTTGGCTCTGTTGCTTGAAGGACCTGTGGTAGGGAGCCAGCTCACCTACCTATCTCAAGGGTCCTTCCAGGGGTTTGACTTCTTTCATGCGGCTAATGTTTTCATGATTCCTTTGTCTTGTAATGTGTGTCAGTTCTTTCTTCCATTTTGTGTCTATTCTATCACGTGGATTAAGCACATTCTGTTTACCTACTCATCTGCTGCTATTTGAATTGTTTCTACTTTTTGTCTAGTGTCAGTATTGCTCCTGTGAACATTTGTATACAAATATTTGAATGCTGCTTTTCAATTCTTTGGGGTAGATTCCCAGGAATAAAATTGCTGGATCATATGATAATTCTATATTTAAGTTTTCGGAATATAAGTAGGCTGTTCCCCACAGCGGCAATACCATTTTACATCTCAAAAGCCAAGTGAAGGAGCAGCAAGCTCCGGGCATCACAAGGAGGGAGTTAAACAGTGCAACCCAACCACCCCTGCAGGCTTTCTACAAGGGCAGAATGGACAGCAAGACCCCTGGGTACCAGAATATCAGTTTCTCCATGTCCTCACCAATATTTGTTATTTATTAATCTTCATTATTATCACTGTTATGCTAGTGTGAAATAGTGTCTCATCATGTGCTTTGATGTGCCTTTCTTTAATAACTAGTAATGTTGAGCATCTTTTCACATTTGTTGGCCATTTGCGTATCTCTTATTTATTTATCTAGGTACTGGAGATTGAACTAACGATCTCATGCTTTCCAGGCAGGTGCTTATACCACTGAGCTAAATCCCTTGCTCCTGTATATCTCTTTAGAAAAACATCTATTCAAACTTTTGCCATTTTTGTAGGTGGTTAGGTTGGGAATTGGACCTTGGGCCCTAACGCATGTTCAGCTCGGCTAGATCTTTACCACTGAGCCATAGCCCCAACCCCTAATTTAACTAATTTGGAAACTGGGAAATGGAAGATCAAAGTTTTCAGCCATTAGTCATGTCATTATGACTCTGGTGCACCTTGTAAAGGGAGTGCTGTGTTGGATATTTAAAGGCATTCGGAACACACACCCCTGGTTAGGATGTGGGGAGCTGCCTTAACCTTAACACCCCAGTAGCCTGGACCCTCCCATTCTGTGCTTCCTTACCATTCTGTGTTTCTGTTTTGTTCCTTACCATTGTGTGGTTCTGTTTTGTTTCTTGTACTCTGTCCCGGCCATGCCTTGGGAAAAGGAAACTGAAACCGAAGGCAGCTGGCCATTGGTGCTCATACTAGAGACACCGCCCCATGACGTTACAGAGCTCTGGCTCATAAAGGGGCTGGACCTGATCTAGCAGCAGAAGCCGCCAGGAGCTGAGAGGTAGTGAACCCACTCCGTTGTGATTGCCTGCAGAATACCTGGCGCTACACTCCACAACCATGGTAAGGCAGATCTGATGATAGGAGTCAACTTTCCTTCTCTCCTTGGGATCTCCTAGTGGGAGAGGTGCTCAGGGCTGGGCTGGACCCCTATATGAGGGGAAGGATGGGCTTCCAGCCCTGATTGTGGGCATCCCTGGAGCCCCAGGGATAGGACCACAGGACCAAGGCATGTGGGTGAAGGGAGACTTTCCCTTCTTCTAGAAAAGACCTCTTTTGTGCTTCTTCTTCCTGGTGGGTGGAAACGGCAGATGGCCAGGAGCTGCATCCCAGGGCTCAGGAGATGCCTTCTCATGGCTTGTGCCCAGTGAGTCTCTAAGCCCATGTCATACCCACAGGATTGGGAACTGACAGTGAAGATGCTGGATGGCCAGCAGTTCCTGGTACTCGTGAACAATTCCATGACATTGCCAGAGCTGAAGAGGCAGATCGCCAAGAAGACTAAAGTACCTGCCTTCCAGCAGTGCCTAGCCATCCAGTCAACCAACAGGGAGTTGCAGGACAGGTTGAGCCTCACCCAACAGGGCTTTGGCCCTGGCAGTGTAGTCCTGCTGCTGGTGAAGGACTGCAAAGACCCCTTCAGCATCCTGGTGACCAACGACAAGGGGCGCAGCCGTTGTTATGAGGTCCGGTTGACACACACAGTGGCAGCACTGAAGAAGCAGGTGTGTCAGCAAGAGGGAGTCCGGGAAGATGTGTTCTACCTGAGCTTCGAGGGGAGAGCTATGGAGGATCAGCACATGCTGGGTGACTATGATCTCAAGCCCCAGTGCACAGTGTTCATGAATCTGCGCCTTCGAGGGGGTTAGGGCTGGGCCCCCGGAACAAAGCAGAGAGCCCCCTGCTGGAATCAAGCTTTGGTAATAAAGATAGATGCAGAGAAAGCACTGCCTGGCCTGGTCTGCTCCACTCCACTAGGGAACCACATCGACCTGCCCTCACCTCCATACAACTGCTGAGGAGGTTGGGGCAGGAACCCAGCTGTGCCCAGGTGACCAGGCTTCAGTGGCCAATTTCAGGGACAAGGGCTTCTGAGTGACATCTTTTTTGCCAAAAAACAGAAGACATGCCTTCATGCTCTGGAGAATTCACTTCTAGAGAAAGAAAATGACATCTTCTGGGGCCCCTCATGGGCGGGCTGAGCCACAGGCAGCCACCCCACAGCTGGCTGCACCCTACCCTAGGGAGGGATACAGGTGAGGCTCCAGTGGGGGAAGCCCCTCCCCAGAAACCCTGGACCCAGTGACTGGTGGGTCTCTGCCACACCCCTGGACTGGGGCCTGCCAGCTCACTCTCCACCCATACTGTCCAGAGTGGGGCATGCAGGCTGGGGCTGAGCAACTTAATAGGGGAAGGGTAGCCAACAAAGGCATCTGCTTCAGGGCTCTGCCTAATGGGGAGGCTACAGTCAGTCACTGGAGGGGGCACTTGGAATTGGGGGCTCATCAGTCCACCAACAACAGCATATCCCAGATGGGGGTATCCAACTGGCACATGTTCCACAACCCTTCTCGTAGTTGCTTCCTTCTCTGTCCTTTCCTCCTGTACGGACTTGCCCATGAGTCTGGCAGGAGGCATTCTGATATCCAGGACCAGGTGCATCCCACGAACACGCATGTCTCATCCACTGACCCCAGGATTTGACTTGAGACCCAAAACCTGTGTGTGGATGTCTATCTGGCGCAGGGGACCGCTGGGTCTGGCTGTGTAGATGGTCACTGTTTACATTGTGAAGGCAGTTGCTGGTGTCCCTTCCTACTTGGGAGGCCCCTACTGGGTTGGGGAGTCCTGCAGCAAGTTGAGCAATGCAGATTCAGTCCTAACGAAGACCAACTAGTGCCCTCTCCTTCTGCCTCCGTCTTCCCATAGGTCAGGCTCTGCCTTGGACCCTCGAGATCTTAGTGTGCCCACTGCACCTAGCCCACCGCCGCGGAGCTACAGCAGTCCCAGGGAGGGAGGGGGCGTGGTTAGCTCCTGGCGGGATAGCAGCGCGTGCCGCAGGACAGAAGGGGGCGCCCGGCTCCGCGCGAGTCCGGGAGGCGCAAACGGGAGGTGGGCGGACCCGCGCGAGACTCAGGCCAGTCACTGCCGGCACCGGCCGAAGCCAACACCGTGCTGGCTGTCCTGGTGCCCGGCCCGCGAGCTGCTGCCCTTGCGTGGGGGGCAGCGCGGCCTGGGCTCAGACAGCCCTTCCACCTTTGTGGACAGGGCGCCGCCGACAGCCCCTTGGAAGTCACGTCACGTCGTCTTGCGATTATGTATTAACCCGGCTTCATCCGCATTTCCTGGGGGGAAGGGCGTCCACAGGGGGCGCCGATCGGACAGCGCCAGCCCCTCCCCCACACCGCCAGCCCCTCCCCCAGGCCGGTCCCGCCGCCCCCGCCCCCCAATCTCCGCCCGGCGCCGTAGTCCCCTCGCTTTGTTCGCTGCCGGCGCAGGTCGCAGGGCGCGGGACAGGCGGGGCCCCGCGGGGGAGGGGGCGGTGCCTCCAGGGTCCGCCCGCGCCACGCCCCCGCGCAGCCCGCCCGCGGCCGCCGCCGCCCTGAACCGCGTCCCGTTCGCCCAGTCCAGTGCCCGGCGCGGCCCGGCCGGCGGCTCCTCGCTCTCTCCGTCCCCGCCGCACCATGGACCGCCCGCGGCCGTGCGGCCCGGCCCCGCTGTTGCTGCTGCTGCTGCTGCTGCTGCTGCTGCCGGCGGCGTGCGCCCTCCCCGGCGCCCGTGGGACGTGCCCGGAGCGCGCGCTAGAGCGGCGCGAGGAGGAAGCGAACGTAGTGCTCACCGGCACGGTGGAGGAGATCCTCAACGTAGACCCGGTGCAGCTCACCTACTCTTGCAAGGTGGGCCGCCCTCGCCGCGCCCCGCCCGCGGGACCCCGGGCCCCTCCCCCGCGCCCCCGCCGCCCTGAAGGACCCCGCGCCCGGGCGTGGGAACGCGCCCCGGACGCTCCGCAGCCCCCGCTCGCGCTCCTTTGGCGACCGCCAAGCCTCCGGCGGGGCGCCAGGTCCCGGAAAAGTCTGGAGTGCCAGGGGAAACTTTCTGTGGTGTCGCTGCAGTCCCGCCCGCGCGGCCCAGGCCCGAGATTCAAGGTGCTCCCCTTCTGCTCGAGTCACCCCCTCGTCGGGATAAGTGCATCTCCCCCGCCCCCTCCCATCATGGGGGATTGCCGCATCCCTCTCCCCTGGCCAAAAGAAAAAAAAAAGGGTTAGGGCGAAAGCCAGTGTGGCCAGTGCTGTCCCCCACCCTCGTCCCAGAGGCCTTTACCAGAGCCAGAGGGGGTGGTCGGGAAAGAGAAAGGGCGCACAGCCCAGTGACCTGGCCGCGGAGCCGCCGCAGTGCCTGGGCGTGGGGACTGAGTAAGGAGGAGGCGGGGCCGCAGCAGAGGCTCCAGTGTTGGGGGTGGGGGGCAGGTGCTGGGTCCTACTTCCTGAGGAACTGGACCTGGCCATTGGGGCCTTGCCCTGCTTCTTCTTCTGCTGACTGTGGAACCCTCAGAATAGGTTGCAGGGGAGGTTCTGCCCACAATCTGCAAGGGAGGGGGTCCCAGGACTGGGATGGTACTTTCTCTGACACCTCAAACTACCACCCTAGACCTGCAGTCAGATCTTCCTGCTCTGTTGTGCTGGGGAAAGTGGCAGCTTCTTTCACAGCGTCCTATGCAGCTACAGCTGGGATCCCCAGCCAGGCCCCCTCCCCTCACCGCCAGGGCACTTTGCCAACTCCCTGCAGGATTTTTTCGACTTCCTCTGGCTGCTTCTGGGTGTGGTTGGGGTGGGGTGGGGGGCTATGAAAGCCCGAAGACCCTCCCCCTGCTTGGTTTATGGACCTGGCCGGGGAAGGGGGCGTCACATGAGGCTCTGCAGTGGCTGAAGGGGTCCCTGCCTGCGGTTCTAGGCTCCCAGGGGATGGCCAGGTGGACAGGCCACCCATTGTCTTACACACACACACACACACACACACACACACACACACACACAGAGGCACGCACACACACACAGAGGCACGCACGCTTCCAAAAGCTGAGGCCCCAGGCTCCCATAGCATAGGCCTCTTCCCAGGGCACCTTTCCAGGGAGTGCATGGGCCCACAGGCCTGTTCCTGTGGGGCTCCCTGGGGGTGCTGTGTGTCTTCGGCTTAGTCAGAGCAGGTGCCTGAGGGCAACAGGAGGAGAAGGTGGAGGGTGAAGCTGCCCCAACTTGATTTTGTGGTTCTCCGATGCCCTGACTATGTGGGCTGTGGAACCTGTGGAAGGGCTTTTCCTGGGGGAGCAGTCTCAGCCCACCTACAGGGCTGTATAGACCCAAACTGGCCCCTTGTCCTGAAGCTTCTTGGCCGTAGTTATTGGTCCTGGCCTTCCTCAGGTGGCTGGAGCAGAGATGGTGGAGGTGGAAGATGGTACTCTAGGCCTGGGGGGCCCATTTCCAGATAGCCTGTGCCAAAGGAGACTTTTTGCACTTGGTGTGGCTGAGATTGGTTAGACTGGGGGGAGAACTGCTTCCTGACGGGCAAGGAATGTGTTTGTGGTGACTTGATCTTGTGTGTGGTAGGTACTAAAGGGCCAGTGGTGTTCAGCACGAGTATGAGTTCCTATAGCCTGTACCCAAGGCTGACCCAAGTATCTCCACGTATCTCTGACCAGGACTAGGGTCAGTGGTGGATGTTTTCCCAGAACCACTGGGGCCAGAGGCAGGGAGGCCCCCAGTCTAGCACCCTTCCTGAGTGGGAGGAGGACCAATGACACCTGCTCCTGTGTCCATCCCAGGTTCGAGTCTGGCGGTACTTGAAGGGCAAAGATGTGGTGGCCCAGGAGAACCTGATGGATGGCGGCAACAAGGTGGTGATTAGCGGCTTTGGAGACCCTCTCATCTGTGACAACCAAGTGTCCACTGGGGACACCAGGATCTTCTTCGTGAACCCAGCTCCCCCGTACCTGTGGCCAGCCCACAAGAATGAGCTCATGCTCAACTCCAGCCTCATGAGGATTACTCTGCGGAATCTAGAGGAGGTGGAGTTCTGTGTAGAAGGTGCGTAGAGTGGGGAGTTGGTGCAGGGGCTGGTGTTAGTCAAGGTACAGGCAGAGAGGGTAGCAGGAACGGGCAGAGGAGATAGATGTGTTTAGGAAATGTCCCGTTGTCCTCGGGGTAGACTGGGTTGGGGGAGGCACGGCAGAGTTTGCTGTAGGGTGGAGTGGGCACTGTCTTGCTGTCTGGCTGTGGTCTGACCTCAGCCTTGCTTCCTGGTTCCTTGGCCTCCCTCCTTGCTGCACCTCTAGATATCCAGAAGTCAGCAGCCTCAAGTGTTAAAGCATCTTTCATCTTGAGCTGAAGAGAGCTCCATCCCTGCAAAGAGCATGGTCTCTGCTTCCCCTCCTGCTTCTCCCAAATACTCCACTGTCCCCCTCAGGGGGCCTTTTACTAGGAGAGAAGCTGGCCCAGGTGAATGCATACCAGCTGTCAAGTTTCCTTAGAAGCCCAAACATCTGTCTAGACTGGATCCACATGTTTGAGCAAACCCTCAAACATGCTCACAGAGATTGCAGCACAGAGATTGTCAGTGGGGGCTATCCTATGTGTTCCAGAGGCCCGCAGTTGTGGTTTCTGGAAGATTTGCTTTACTAGGTGGATGTGGATGCCCCACTTGCCTTGCCTGCCAGCTTCTGGGAGGTGACCAGAATCACAATGAACCAGTCTCCCCCTTCCTTAGGACAACTCCAGTTGGAGGCTAAGACAAGGTGTTCAGGGAATGTAGTGGGAGAGTGTAGGAACTTGTCGCTGCCACATCCTGTCTGTTCCTTCTTGGTGCGCTTGCTGTCTGTCGAGAAGGATGTAGGGTGGGAGGTGTGGGGGATGAAGAGAAACTTCCTGACCAGGGCAGTGGCAAGGGTTGTGCCTTCCGGTGCTCTGATATGCTCTGTTGGCCAGCAGGAAAGTCCTTTCTCCTGTCTGCCTAGCAGCTTTGCCACTGGCTTGGCTCCTCAGAGATATTCGCAGTGGCCTGGGGAGCTCTGTGCAGGGGAGCAGCAGGGTGGAGAGCTGAAGGCCTTTCCCAGGAGCCAGCTGCACTTGGCTCCTCCTGGGCTGCCTCCAGGACCTGGATCCAGCCTTGTTGAGGCAAACTCAGCTGTTGAGACCTGAGCCTGGCCATCCTACTGCAAGGACCGGAGACCTAGCCCTGCCCTAGAAGCTTGTGGTTTGGGAAAAGATAGAAGAAGTGTGGCATGGAGGAATGGTAGCATGAGGTCAGTGGTGTCCAGCTTTGGGGGTGGGTGGGAGGCCAGAGGAAGAAGATCAGGGCCCAGAAATCCTGTGTCTCTGCGAGACCCAGAAGGTAATCAATCATTAACCCAGAAGATGGGTGGGTCCAGCCTGAGGGTCCATGACTCAGGACTGAGGAGCTGCTGTGGGGTCAGAGGTCACATAGAGGGAGGGTCACCCTGAGCAGAGCAAGGCGAGGCATCTCTCCAAAGCTGTTCTGTCCATGATAAGCCCTGGTACTGGTACAAGGAAGACCAAGGCCGAGCTGTGGGACAGCCTCTGCTGGTGTGAGTAGACCTCCTGTGTATGCCTGTTGTGGGTAGCAGCCACGCAGAGACCATCCTAGGACCTGAGGTCAGGCAGGAATCAGGACCTATGGGTCAGTATGCAGCTGGCTAAGGAGAGGGCCTAGGGGAAGCTGAGAGCCTGGGCTGTGAGGACAGGTGATAGGCTCACAGGGACCTGTTTGGAAGCAGACCAGGGACCTAGTGTGGAGAAGGAACATTCTTAATCCAAGTGGGGTGAGAGGTGGGAGTTGCGGATTTAGGACTCCACCTTCCCTCACTCCATTGGCACAGACTGACCCATCTGATCTGATCCAATCCTGTCCCTGCTGAAGTCTGGGTGTCACCCCCTTTTGGTGGACTCCATCCAGGCCCTCCACCCTTGCCCACCCCACCCAGACCCTGCCCTAAAGGACACCTGCATCTATGACACATACCTGTCCCGCTTCTAGAGCCTTCTTTTCCTCAGTTTCTCCCTGGCCAGCGGGGGGTTTTCTGGCCCTGTCCAGTCAGCCCCACCTACAGCCCCCAGAAAGGCACCTTCTTTGGTCCTCCCCTGGGGAGCTACATTCTTGGCATAGCTGAGACAGGTATGTGCCCCTCCCTCTGCACCACCTTTGGGCCGGGGAGGCTGTTCCTCCGGAAAGGAGCCCCCCTGCTTTGTGTGGGTAGTGTGGGTAGTGGCCTGTTTCTGCCCAGACAGAAGCCTGCTCCCGGCAGTCCTCAGCCACCTGACTGCCACCTCGGAGCTGGGTGCTTCCCCACCTACTCTACCCTCCCCACTTCAGAGGGCAGTTCTGGCCCCTCCCTGAAGCCCCCAGAAAGGACGTAGGCATGACTGGGGCCCTTCCTTTTGCCAGGAACAGATAAAGGAAGTGTTGTATGCCCCTGGCAGAGGGACAGGGCAGGGGGCCAGGGCTGGAGTGAACTAGGTGCTCGCCCAGTCCTGAAGCAGAGGGTCCTGGCAGCCATGCTCCCTGGCCCTACCTGGCAAGATGGGTTCCTGCTGAGCTCTTATCCTGCCAGACCAGCTGCCCAGGGCCTTCAGGAAGGCAGTCCTGGGGCAGGCTGGAGATACATTGGGTAGGGCCAGGGATTTAGGTCAGTGGCATAAGCACCTGCCTCGCAGGTGTGGGATTGTGAGTTCAATCCTGGGTTCCAAAAAAAAGAGAAATTGGGTGCCAGGGTAGTAGCAGATGTGGCCTGAACCTCCTCTTGTCTGAGGTACACAAGCTATGGGGAAAGTGCTGGCTCAGGCAACTCTCTCTGCTGTCTGGTAGTCATCTTATGTCCCTCTTCCTGCTGAAGTAGGGGGTGGCTTGTCCCCCCAGCTTCTGCTACCCCACCAGTGCCCCTGAGAGCCCATCCTCTGGACAGGCCCAGGCTTGAGGCTGCCTGCCACCTTGATCTGCCTCTGTAGCTAGTGAAGGTACTGCCTTTTCCCTACCTACATGAGGTGCTGATATAAAGCCTAAAGGACTAAATTTGTTCCTCTGGCTTCACTTGGGCCCACCTGACGGTCCTGGGGGTGGGCTTTGCTGGATAGGTGATGGTGACTATGAATTTTGTAGGGTGATTTGCCTTTAAGCAGGGGAAGAGGACAGGACTGAGTTGGTGGCTAGAAACAGCTCTCCGCTTTTTTTAGAACTGCCCCACCACTGTATCCCCACCAGAGGAGAATCCCAATTTCCATTCTCCCTAGCAGATTGGAAATGGAAGAGCTTTTTGAAACCACTGTCCTCCTGTTTACTGGACCTTCCTGCTAGTGCAGGACCCTGTGGGTGTGGGACCTGTGCCATGGGACAGGGCACAAGATAGAGGTACTGTGTCAGGGCAATAGCCCAGGTCTGAGGCTGCAGAGATATGGAAGGTCGGTTCCAGCAGAGAGTTCCTGCCAGCCCCAGGTTATTCCAGCTATGCTCTCTGGCTCTCTGCTACTACAGAGAGCTGCACTGCTTCTTTCCCGAAAGGTTAATGTTCCCAACCCCCAGGATCAAAGCCTGACGCATCACCCCAGGAGGGTGGAAAACAGCTATAGAAACTTGCCCCTTCCCACTGTGGCCCTTTACTTGTGGGACCCAGGTCAGTGGCTCATTTCAGAGCTCAGACAGGCCTGACAAGTTCTGAGCCCCCACCCTGCACCCTAGGAGCCTCTTCCTCCTTAGAGCTCCCCAGGAGCCCTGCTGAGGAGCCACACCCACATTCCCACACTTACCATCTAGAGGGGTCTCTGCCCCATAACTGCTCCCAGGCAGCACTGGGGTTTAGGAGTGGTCACATGTGAGCCTTAGGCTTAGCCTTAGGCTGACCACCCCTGGTGGAGCCTTCAGGGAAGAGAAATTCCCTCCCCCCCAAGAACATTTTCTGAGGAAGGCCCCCTGCAGGGGCTGCTCACAGCGGGACCTGGGAAAAGAGCTTGCCTCTTCCTGGCCTTCCCCTGCATTGTCCCCCTGGAGCGGAACCGTGGGAGAGAGGAGCACTGTGTCCTCACAGGCAGGGCTGTTTCCAGCTGTGACTTTGCATTTGCTTGTGAGTATGTTTGTGAGTAGCTGCAGGCCTACTGTGCTAGTCTGCTCTCCACGTTCTGTCAGAACTGCCTCTTCTGGTGTGTCTGATTCCTGCACTCTCCTTTCCCTGGAGGGTACTCTGGTCAGGCCAGAAGCAATCTCTGTCCTTCTCATACACATGTGAGTCCCAGCCTCTTTGGTATGAGTTGTCTAGTCTGCCCCACCTGCTGTGTCCAGCTGGACCCTGTGCCTGCTAGAGGGCTGATAACTTTCTGGGGGTTGAGGCTATGGTGAGGAGTGTAACTAGTCAGGCTCACTGTCCCTTACAGCCCTCTCAGACCCGAGGCTGATGCAGATGCCTCTGCCCTTGACCACAGGCAGACTGGGCAGCTAGACTTCAGGCAGGCATGGGGCCCTGGGCAGGGGATGAACATACACAGGCTGGTGGGAGAGGAAGGGATGTGTACCTTGGCAGGGCAGTGACGTACAGGTGTGAAGAATTCTTGCTACCTCAAGCAGAGAGCCCTGCTGGACTCAGGTGGCTTCTTGGGAGCTGTGGACATGGGAGGGAGGGAGCCTCTTGTCAGCACTTCTACACGGAACCCCCTGGAACTTTAATACTAGTTGGCATGAGTTGTACCCACTTTTCTCCTGTGTCTGTTGCCCATCCCCTTGCCCAGCACGACTGCACTCTTGGTAGGGCACCACACTCTCCTGGTTCACGGGCACTGACTGGACCTGAGCACTGCCCTGGCTTCACCAGCATTCCCTTTTACCTGGAGATAGGTTTTCCTGACTAGACAGGGAGGGGAGGATGTGGATGGCTCCAATCCATCCTTGTACCCCCTGGCAGTTACAGCAAAGTAAGGGGGTAGGGGTGAGGGATCACTTCAGATCCTTCTGAAGCCTGAGTGTGCCCTGGAGGCTCGCTGCCTTTATCCCTGTCCTCCTAGGTCTCTGTGCCGGCCTGCTGCCAGTTAGAAGCTTCCTGAGCTTGTTCCCAGATTGGCTTTGGTCAGTGCCTTCTGATCTGAGCAAGCACCCTCCCCTCACTGGTCTGAGTGCCACCATCACCCCAGGAGGCCACACTGCCTGCCCACCTGCCTGGCTTGGCTTCATTTGAAATAGTACAATGTGTTCCCCCACAAGATGTCCTGGGGACTTTGAGCCCTACCCAGGGAGATGCAGACAAGCTGGTAAATCATGAAGAAGGGCCCTGGGTTAGGGGGGCTCAGCCAGCTGAGTAGTGAGAAATGGGGTGGGAAGTCAACCCTGCTGTGCCCCTGCCCCAGATTTTCACTTACTCTCTCCACCTGCATAGCAAGCTGTCACAGGTGCCAGGTTGTTGGTCTGACCTAAGCACCTCTTGGCTTCATCTGAGGCAATATGGGGACCTGGGCCCACAGCCTAGACTGGTGAAAGAAACACCCAAAGCAGCCTCCATCCCAGTAGCTGGCCATCACCTAGCAGTGACGTCCTGTCCCAAACCACCCATTGTCTGCCAAGACTGAGGGAGGCAGGAGGGCACAGGCTGAGACCCAGCCTATCAGTAAGTAGGTTGTAGGATGGGGGACACTTTGCCCCCTCCACAGAGGCAGCTACACACTGGTGCTCTGGGCAGGACAGGGCAGTTCGTGCATGCTTGATACCAAGGCAGCCCCTTTTCCAACTAAGCAGGATGCCCCAGGATCTTTACGGACGGTGTGACATGCCTGCAGGGGGTGGCTGGGTGGGGTGCCTACAGGCACCAACTTGTGGGTAATTCCACTCTCAGGGTTCCTGGCCATTCCACCCCACCATACACCCTTCTTTCTGTAGCCAGTAGAAGGAAGAGTCATTTGTGTGTGAATGAGGGATAGGTTGCCAGTGGGCTGGGCTCTCTGCTCCCTCTAGGCCCATTCTTCAGGTTTCCAAGCAAAGCCCTGGTGGCCACACTGAGAACAGAGGACAGGGTCACCCCAGTGTGTGTCTGGGGGTGGAGCAGAGCTGAGGATACATGTGTGACACCCTGTACCACAGGCATTCAGGGAGTGTGCCTGTGTTCTGGGAGAGCTGGGCTGCCTAGCGTGTGGCAGCTGTTAAATGCATGTTGCTGGGAGTGTGAGCCCAGAGTTCAGGGGACTGGTTCCTGCCCCAGAGAATCAGTATGTTGTAAGTCTGTGTGGGCTGGTCAGAGATGAATGATTTTTGCCTGAAGATCCCAAAATAGCTGCAGTAGCCTGAACTCCCCTCCCCACTGGGCCAGGGCTTCAATGGCTCTTTGTTTCTGGAAGGCATCCCGCCCCAGCAGAGGCCTGGTAGGGTCAGGCTGCCTGTCTGGTTGGCCCCCCCCCCCCCCCCCCGCCGCCAGAGCCCATTCCCACTGTTAATCTGGGCCAGATCCACACCCCCATGTGGACATCCAGAAGGCTGCCTGTTGGGACTCCTCTAGTGGCAGATCCCATGGTCTCTGCTGAGGGGGACAAACATCCCAGGCAGCATCCTGCCCTTCCCACGTCGCCTTCCACGCACCTTCCCTACCTACCGTCCTTTTTTGGGGGCTCCCACTACCCCTCAGACCCAGTCCTCCCACACCATTTCCTGGACTCCTGCAGAGCTCACAGAGGACACCTGAGCTGTGGCAGGTGATAGCAGCACATAGCAGAGTGCAGTGGGTGTGTGGCCTGCTGGGCTTGGTCCCTGGCACTTTATCCAGCAGTAAGAGAAATGGAAAAATGTGCAGGAAGTTGCTCTGGGTTCCCCATCCCAGTCCTTCCTCTGTGCACTGCAGGCCAGCCTCCGCCCTGAGAGATAAAAAAAAACTCAGACCCTGCCCTGGGCACCACATACCAGGACTAACCGTGTGCTGCAGGTAGTGCCAAGGTCCACAAGGGGTAGTTGGGGAACAGGGTCTCCCTGAGCAGAAGGCGAGGCCAGCCTGGACCAAGGTCTCCAAGTGGCTTATTGGGGCCCACATCCACTTTGGATTTTCCTGCAGGGTTTCCTTTAAATAGTGGGTTGGGAGCCACAAGAGATGGCAAGATCCTTGGGGATTTCTCCCCTTGGCCTGTGGTGGGACAAGGGTGACTCCCTTGTGGGAGTAGCACATCTCATCTGGCTTCCCCAGCCAAGGTGGACTTGGTGAGGTTTAGGGATAGCTGAGCTGGAGGAGTTGCCTGGGCATGGTGGGGGCAGCTTGTGGGTTGGGCAGACTTGGGAGGGTCACCTGGAGACTGTGGGGGTTGTTTGTGGCCAATATGTAGGGCTCTGGAGCCCCAGACTTGGCTAGTGAGTCCAGGGCCAGGAGTGTAGTCAGTGCTTCTTTCCCTGAGTGGATCGAGATGAGGCTGGAGAGTGGCAGGAGTGAATGAGTGTGCCTGATGTGGGGACCGTGAGTGTGATGACAGCTGGGATGAGGGCACTGCACACTGTCTGGAGGAGTCCTGGCCTAGAGAAGAAGAGAACTCATGTGTTGGGAAAACATGCCATTCCTGGGTAGGAGAGGCACAGAGTAGGGTGGGAGCAGGACCAGTGGGAGGCGTGGCAGCGGCACTCTGAAGGACTACAGGTGAGTCAGGTGTCCTGACACAGTCTTGTTATCCCAGCACTCTTAAGGATGAGGCAAGAGGCTCCAAGGCCCAGCCCAGCCTGTGCGATTTAGTGATTTACTTAATCCTATCTCAGAATAAATGACTTTGGAAGCCAGATGTGGTGGCACACACCTGTAATCAAGAGTTTGGGCTTGAGGATGTAGTTTAGTGTGAAAGACTAGGTTCAAGCATCAGTACTGAGGGAGGAGAACCCCCCGCAAAGAGGAAAAGATTGCAGGTGGTAGAGAAGGTGGGGTGTTGGTGCTACAGACGATCACATGGGCTCCCCTGGCCCCGGAGTGCGGCCAAAGCTGGTGGGGATGGTGGATGTAGAATGGGATTCCCAAGGTTGCAGGGAGCTGGTTCTGGGCAGAGGCAAGGCAACGCAACCTCGCCAGGCTGGCCCACAGGGGCAGCACAACTCCGGGTTCCCAGGGGGGCCTCCAGGGGCGCACCAGGGCTACAGTACCTCGCCGAGCGTTCTGGCGGTTAATTTGCATGCGACTCAATTGCCTGTTTTCTCACCACTGGAAGGCAACCGAGAGGACAGGGGTGGTATTGAATGTTGGCGAAGGTGGGCAAGGCGGTTTCTGGACCCATCACCTTGCTGCTACTCGGCGGCTTGTGCTACACCTGCGGCCTAGGCCGCAACTAGGGACCCCAACCAGCAGCAGCAGAATTACTGACAGACACACACGACGACAAATGCAGACGTACAGAACCCCAAAACCCGTCCTCCGGCAGACCCGAGTCCGCTCGGCCCAGCCCGGCCCCACACTGCGCAGCCCCGCCACCGGACCCTCCCGCCCGGCGTGGCTCCCACCAGACCCTCGCACCTTGGCTGGCCGCTCGCCCCTCCCATGCAGCCCCTTTTGTGTCCTGGGTCCTCTGCCCTGGCTTCCCTCTCCCGCCCATCCTTTGCACTCTGAGCTCAGAACTCGACTCCCAGCGGGCGCCGGGTCCCCCGAGGCGCCTTCCTTTGTCTGTGCTCCCCGCCCTGCCTGCGCTGGCCCTCACTCACCGACCCGGGAGGGCAGGGGAGCCTGGGGCGGGGGTGCCTCCGCGGTGGCTCTTTCTTCTCCGCGCGCCCCAGCGTCCGCGCTCACCGCCGCGCTCCCGCTTGTCAGGCGCGCGCCGCCAGGCCCTGCTCGGAGTCCCGCCGCGGCTTCAGCCGCCGAGCCTGGTCTGGGCGGGGAGGACGGAGCCAGTGGTGGCGGCTGGCAGGTGTGGCCCGGGCCTGCGTCCTCCTGCGTCTGTCTCCGAGCCCACCTTGGGAATTTCTACTTGCGGACAATTTTGCACACCTCCTGGAATGCGTCTGAAGAGCTGCAGAGGGTCTGGAGCCTCCCGGGCTGTGGCTGGGGCGGAACTTTGAGAGCAGCGCTGCTGTGCGCCGCCCCCGGAGTCCCAGTATGGGTGGAGTAGCCCCCCAGAGGCCTAAGGGCACTCCGTGAAGAACCTCGTACAGAGCAGAGCAAGCGGGTCAGGCCATGCCGCCTCTCCCGCTGGAGCGCCGTCCCGGGCTGCAGCCCGGTGTCTCCGTGCTGGTGCGGTACTTCATGGTCCCCTGCAATGCTTGCCTCATCCTGCTGGCCACCTCCACGCTGGGCTTCGCGGTGCTGCTCTTCCTCAGCAATTGTACGTGGCCGCTGGGTGTGGCTGTGTGGGTGTGGCCCAGGGGCCCTGCTTTTGCTAGCCAAGCCCTGCTTCTCAGCAGCCAAGGGCTCCAGGGTAGACCAATGGTAGCAAGGTCAGAGGCCATGACCTGGCTCACACAGGATGGGCCATCTCCTGGGCCTCCAAGGACCCCCTCAAAGGGCTCAGCCTCACCCTGCTGTGCAGAAACAACTTCCTGCAATGCTGGAAGCAGTGCCTGCACCCAGCATGGAGTGGTGCAGGGACAGGGCCCGAGGCTGGATTCCTCTGGGGAAGCAGCAGGTGGCTGCTTCCTTCTTGCTGCACCCAGAGAGGTGCGAGGCCAGGACCATGCCACTGGTGGAGCAGAGAGGCCAGGGCCACTGTCTTTGTCATCTGAGGCCTCAGCCACTCTTATGAGGGTCAGGGCTGGGCACCTCAGCTTCCCAAGCTGGACCCTGGGGAAGGAGAGGGGTAGGGTGGAGCAGAAGGGTAAAATGAAGAGACTGTGCAGGCTGTCTGACTTGGAGGTTTCTCTTTTCCAGACAAACTTGGGACACACTTCACGCCAGCCCCTCTGATGCCTCCTGACGGTGAGTGGAGGTGCCCAGTGGGCCAAGCCCCTCAGGGTTGGAGCTGCGCTGCTATGTGGTACTCCAGGGATATCTGAAGAGTCTACAGGGTAGGCGGTGCCAGGAGCTCTGTCTCGGCTGACCAGTGCACCTGAGCAGTGCCCTAACTGCTATGGCCACCGCCTCCATAATGACAAAAGTCCTGAAACCCTCTAGTGTTGAGGTGATGTAGGCAGCAGCTATGGGGTGCTGGGTCAGTGGGGTCAGAGTTTGGCTGTGATGGGGCTTCCTCTCTTTTGTACTCCTTTTCTTGGTTCAGGAAGACGTGGAGTTGGACAGCAGCTGGAAACAAGCGCAGAGGAAAGACTGGTGGGGGCGGGGCAGTGCTAAGCTGGACCAGCATGGCTGTCTGAGGGGGGCCCTCTGGGCCTGGGTCTGTACAGGCTGCAGTGGGAGGGTGTAAGTGATGGTGGGGGTGGGTTGACCTTACTGCTTTATGGCATGTGACTGGGTGCCTGGGCCTCCTGAGAGATGCTGGTGTGGGGGCCTCTATAATTATGCTAATGCAGGGACAGGAAGCTGGTGTGCAGGCTTAGAGGAAAAGGTGGGGTCCACAGCCCCTCACCCAGCCTAGTCCTTCAGCAGGGGACAGGAGCTTCAAGTTCACTTTCAGTTTCTACACCACCTCTGGGTCCTCTGTGGAGAGGATACCTGTCCAGAGCCACAGACATCACAAGTCCAGAGCTATCTATAGATAGGTCAGAGCTATAGTTTTGCCCTATCCAAGACATGGGTGGGGAGAAAACTTGGGAAAATTGTGTGGTGGTGGCTGTGAGTCTCACTCTGGGGAATAGAGCCCTGGGTTCTCCCAGAATGCAAACCTAGCTTGCATAGTCTACATCACTTCCTGAGTCTTGGCAGTGTGTGGCAGGGTGGCTAAAGCATGTGGCATGGCCCCTCTTCAGGCTGTTCCTATGAAACCATGAAGGCCTCAGCATGCCAAGTTCCATCTGAAATGTAGGGAGGGGAGCCTGTGATAGGGGTTGCTTTCTCTCTCCTGAAATACAAGAGCCCTTTGGGTCAGGGGAGCATGATCCCATTGTGTGGTATGTAACTTGAGGAATTTTTAAGAACTACCAGGAGCCAGTGACTTAACAGAAGTATGTGACTAAGTAAGCAGCCAACTTGTCTTAGACTACTGTCCCTCTTCTGGATTTTGGGAGAAAAGGTTGTTGCCCCAAATAGTGAGCATTTTTTTTTTTTTTTTTTTGAGGCAAGTTTAGGCCATGAAGCTCACTGGGTAATCCAGGCTGCCCTTGAATTTGCAGCAGTCCTCCTGTTTTAGCTTCCCAGGTGCTGGGATTAAAGGCATGTGCCAACATGCCCAGCAGTCCTCACATTTTACAGGAAGCCCAACCTCTCCCAGAGTGTAGGCTGTGATAAGGAGAACAGTCTGTGCTGGCCTGAGGTTTGGATGAGGCCTGGGGCTAGATACTGAGTGTCCATAGCCCTTGGGCAAAAGTGTGGCAGTGTCTTGGCTAAGGTAGGAAGATACTACCCCCCTCAACATCCTCAACCTCTCGTTGGAGCCCAGAAGGTTGCCAAGCATCCCCCCTCCCTGACACACTCTGCCCTCCCCCAGCTGCACACATGGCTCCTTTGCTCACACCCTAGTCGTCTCTTGCACACTCATAGACCTGACCATGGCCATCATTGCACACAGAGGCCATCATACCTGGACACAAGTAAGAGATTGGGGCATCTGTTCCATCTGCCAACCCCGAAACCAGGAGGAAAGTTAAATATACCCACAACAAACGATGTCTATAAAAAGCTGATGCCGCCTCCGATGCTGCAGAGTACTTGGGACCAGCAGAAGCTGTCATACAGGGCTGAGCAGGCAGGCGTGGCAAGGCCCAAAGTGACCCACTGGAAGCCTAGGGCTCATAGGTACCTGAATGCCACCTGCATTTATGAGGGCTGATGTGAACAAAGACCAGATGCATGGGAGTGGCTAAGCCCAGCTCTACTGTGTGCTAGCAGTGTGACTTTTTCGGGGGCATCCCTATGTCTTACCTTCCTCTGCTGTGCAGTGCACTTGAGGAAAGCATCATAAGGACTTGTGAGGGACATGACTGCTGTGACAGACTGTGTCTTGTTCATGTGTGCACTGTCTGTAGGCGGTTTCTACCTGTGCCTCTCCTTACGTTCTGTTCAGAAACTTACATTGAGCTTCTGGGATCTCCTAGTCCCCAAAGGGAGGGAGGCAGTTCACAGCTATTGTAGAAGCATCAGATACATGAGTATAGCCCCACCTAACCTAATGATCTGAGCATGCAAGAGAGGGAGGTGTTTAACAATGGGTACCCAGGAGCAGCTTTGAGGTCAGGACCATGGGAGAGGTCTGGCAGGCCCAGGGTGAGCAGATGGAGAGAAGGACTGATGAACCTGGGTGTAGAGAGCTGCCTGAGTCCATAACCTTGGGGGACACTTTAGCAGGTGCAGCTGCAGCCCAAGAGCATCAACAAGTGCTTACTGATTTGGCCTGGGGGAGAGAAGGCTGAGTCAGAGAGGGGTCCCACAGGAGAAAGAGAGAAAGAGGGCCCTCAGGCAGATGGGATTGGAGTTTGGTTTGAGCCAGAGAAGAAGAGAGGCCCATGGTGATGGTGGTAATCCTACCACTGTGTGTGTCATAGCACACAGTCCAGGCAGTGCTTGGGCTGGGTACCCTGTGCTGTACTGTTGGGCCCTATGGTCCCAGGAGGTGAGTCCTTTTGTCTGCCTTCACAGAAGGGGATGCTGAGGCACAGTGAGGGACAGCAAGCCCCCACGATCTGAGGGGGCACAGCGAGTGCGGTACCCAAGCATGGTAGGTTAGAAAAGGTGGGCCAAGGTCCACTTAGCTTTCTGGAGGCCAAGATACCCTGTTGCTGGTGTCTCGGCACCAGCTAACTCCAGTCTGCAGTGCACCCCCACTCTTCAGGAGATGGAGAGGGGGCTTCCTTCTGCTTCATTTCCTGAGCTTGCTGGGAGGCGCTGGGAAGGCTGCCCTCCCATTCCTTATTAATGATAATTTGGCCCATTAACTGTTCATTAGATCCAGATAGCTGTCACCCCACCCCTGGATGTACAGGGGTACATCTCAGGAGCCAGCCTACTTTCAACCCCAGGGCTGTGCTTAATAGGGCTGCTGTGGGCACTGTCATTAGTGACCTTGGATTTACTTGGGTTTTGTTTTTGTTTTTGTTTTGAGACAGGGTCTGTTATTTAGTTCAGGCTGGCCTCGAACTACTGTGTAGCCTAGGCTGATCTTAAACTCATGGGGATCTTGCTGCCTCAGCCTCCCAAGTGCTGGGATTACAGGTGTGCACCACCTCACCCAGTGACTCTGGGTTTAAATGTCCCCGTGTGGGCTTACACACTGGCCCTGCTTTCTGCTACTATGGAAGCCTGTGATAGGACCCATGATAGACACTGCTCTGCAGCATGAAGAACTGGGATGTTAAGAAATAAAGTAACTGTGGGGTGAGGCAGAGGCTCCAGAGGACACTGAGGGATTGATTGCCCAAATGATCCCAGGGAGAAATGTCACCATCAGCCTGAGACTTTGAGAGGCCTGAGAAGTGGGAGGCACAGATCAGGCTGTGGGGCTGAGGAAGGGGGTACTGAGGGAGCACAGTTTGGGGGAGAAGAGAGCATAGTGCAGGGCAAAGGGAAGAGAGGTGATTTAGGAAGAACTGGGCCTCTGGGGTCTGACAAACCTGGAGAGGATAGAGGAGGGTTAAGCTCAGGGTGAGAGGGTGGAGGTGTGGGGACAAATGTGGTGGATCTGGCAGCTTCTGAGAAGGGGCCCCTGAAGCTGCTGACTGGGCTTGGGGCTGAGGGTACCGGTCAGGTGAGGGCTCTGATGCTTCTTCAGGAGGAGACTCCTGAGCAGCACAGGGGTGCAGACTGCTTGCGTACAAGGTACTCTTGGGCCTTTCCTGTTGTATGTGGTGTCAGGAGGATACAGATGCTCTCTGCAGCATTAGGGCACGGGTGTGTGATGAGAGCAAGTCCTCCTGGAAGGAAAAATCCCGTAGCTCTGAGGACCCTGAAAGTATGTGTGCAAGCCATTCGGAGGTGATACTGGTGGGGTTTGGGAATTCACACAGGCCCTGCTCTGACCGCTTCTGGCCAACTCCAGTGTGCAGGGGAATGCTGTGTGGTTTTGGTGCCGTGTGTGAGCCTAGCATAGAAGATCCAGGCCGGGCCTCCTGCGTGTGCAAGAAGAATGCCTGCCCAGCTGTGGTAGCACCTGTGTGCGGTTCAGATGCTTCTACCTACAGCAATGAGTGTGAGTTGCAACGTGCACAGTGTGTTCTACAACGGCGCATCCGCCTGCTCCGCCGAGGGCCCTGTGGTGAGTGTGTGCTTGTGTGTTGATGTATGCAGCATAGGGGAGTCGGGCAGTATGTGACCCCATGCTGCCACCCACAGGGTTCAGGGACCCCTGCACCAATGTGACCTGCAGCTTCGGCAGCACCTGTGCCCGCTCGGCTGATGGGCAGACAGCCACATGCCTGTGCCCAGTTACCTGCCATGGGGCCCCAGAGGGCACCGTGTGTGGCAGTGATGGTGCCAATTACCCTAGTGAATGCCAGCTGCTGCACCATGCCTGCACACGCCAGGAAAACATTTCCAAGAAGTTCGATGGCCCCTGTGGTGAGTGCAGCCCGATGCTCCTCCATGCCTGACTTCTGTGCATCCATGTGTGAACTTGGTGACAGGCCTGACTTGGCCCTCCAACCCCAGACCCTTGCCAGGAAGCCTTTACCGACTTGAGCCACATCTGTCGTGTGAACCCACGCACACGGCGCCCAGAGATGCTTCTGCGGCCAGACAGCTGCCCTCCCCGGCACTCGCCCGTGTGTGGAGACGACGGGGTCACTTATGAAAATGACTGCATCATGGGCCGCACTGGGGCAGTCCAGGGTCTGCTCCTCCAGAAAGTGCGCTCTGGCCAGTGTCAGCCTCGAGGTGCGTGGCCCCCAGATCCCCTGCTGTGTGGGGGTGACTGCTCAATCCTGCACGACATATCCCCACCACTACCTATGTATCCATGGGTTCCTGCTGCTGCTGGTGTGGGGCTGATGCTCTCTCTCTGATCTTGTTGGGTCTCCACAGACCAGTGCCCTGAGGCTTGCCAGTTTGGTGCCGTGTGTCTGTCCCGCCGTGGCCGTCCCCGCTGCTCCTGTGATCGTGTCACCTGTGATGGGGCCTACAAGCCTGTGTGCGCCCAGGATGGACACACATACGACAATGACTGTTTGCGCCAGCAAGCCGAGTGTCGGCAGCAGCGTGCTATACCCCCCAAGCACCAGGGCTTGTGTGGTGAGCACTCTGGGGCCAGGCCGGAGCCGCTGGTCCAGTGTCAACCCTTGCCTGACATCACACTCCATCTCCATTCCTCATTTTACACCTCCTGGGATCTGGGCCAGGGTGGTTGCTCTGGGTGATGGGAGGCTGTGATGGTGCCTGGGACCTGGAAGGGGGTGGGACAGATGCAGGCCTGCGCTTGCCCATGCTGGTCATTGCAAGCCCTCTGACCCACCTGTCCATCAGTCCCACTGCACGAAGGCACAGACAGCCTGGGTGGGCAGGAGTGGACGGGGCACTGGACTTCTCACACGCCTACGACACACAGCCACCAGCTCCCTTAGCCAGCATTTCCATTGGGATCTGAGGGGCCAGTGGAGGGTGGAGGCAGACAGGCAGTGGTAGGCGTGTCCTGTGGGGACCAAGGCTACTGTGTGTGGCCTTGCCTGCCTCTGTCTGACTCGGTCAGTGCTCTGTCCATCTTTCTGGTCTCTCTTTCTGCGTCTGTCTTCTCTGGTCCTTTCCTCTTGGCTTCGCCTCTTGTGTCTTCCAGCCTGACCTGCTGGCAGGATGAGGTGCCGCGCCTGCCCACCAGGAACCCACAGCCTGAGGTCTGCCCCCGGCGTGGCTGGGGGGGTGGCTCGCTGCTGCCTGGCCTTGTAGTCCTCAGAGCAAGTGGACAGACACCTCCTCCCCTGTGCAGCCCTGGGGGTGACTCTGGGGTGCAGACTCCTCCTACCCTGGAGAGGGAGCCCCTCATATGCATGAGTGTCCTGGGGCTGCTGGTGGTCAGGGGTCAGTGCCCTGCTGCTGGGCAGTCAGAAGGCTCCTGTGTCCCTATCCACCTCTGTCCTGTGTCTATCCCTTTCTCTGCTGTGTCCTGCACATCTGGCTCTTCCTCTACCATCCCCACCCTGGGAGAGGGATGCTGCATGAGGCTGGAGCTTTGCCCATGGTTGAGGGGACGGGCAGGTGGGCTGAGTTCTGTGTCCTCCCCAGCCCAGGCCCCATCCCCGTGCCATGAGGTGCAGTGTGCATTCGGGGCGACGTGTGCTGTAAAGAATGGGAAGGCTGTATGTGAGTGCCAGCAGGTGTGCACAGGCATCTATGACCCCGTGTGTGGCAGCGATGGCATCACGTATGGCAGCATGTGCGAGCTGGGGGCCATGGCCTGTGCCCTGGGGCAGGAGATCCGGGTGACCCGCCGCGGACCCTGTGGTCAGTGGTGGGCAGGTGGGCCTGGTGGGTAGGATAGGGTTTCTGACCAGCATGGTGATTGAGCCCTATCTGCAGACCAGTGTGGACAGTGTCGTTTTGGAGCCCTGTGTGAGGCCGAAACCGGGCGCTGTGTGTGCCCCTCTGAGTGTGTGGCCTCAGCCCAGCCTGTGTGTGGTTCTGATGGGCACACATATGCCAGTGAATGTGAGCTTCATGTCCACGCCTGTACACAGCAGGTTGATCTGCACGTGATCTCAGCTGGACCCTGCCGTGAGTGGGGACATTGGGGGCCTGGCAGGCCAGGGTCCCAGGACTCACCAGCCAAGGTCTGCTGAACCTGCCCGGCTCTGTCTCCGCAGAGACCTGTAAGGATACAGTGTGTGCCTTTGGGGCAGTGTGCTCAGCTGGGCAGTGCGTGTGTCCTCGGTGTGAGCACCCCCCACCAGGCCCCGTGTGCGGCAGTGATGGTATCACCTACCCCAGTGCATGTGAGCTGCGGGAAGCTGCCTGCCGGCAGCAGGTACAAATTGAAGAAGCCCGGGCAGGACCCTGTGAGCAAGGTAAGCTTAGTGGCAGCTAGTGTGAGCTGCCTGGCACCAGGCTCCAAGAACGAGGCCCTGGGTGACTTGGTCCTCTTTTCCACAGCTGAATGTGGCTCAGGAGGCTCTGGCTCTGGAGAGGAAGGCGAGTGTGAGCGGGAACTGTGCCAGCAGCGTGGTGGCATCTGGGATGAGGACTCAGAGGATGGGCCATGTGTCTGTGACTTCAGCTGTCAGAGTGTCCTGAGGAGCCCGGTGAGCAACCCCACGCTAAATTCTTAACGGGCAGCGAGGAAAGCACTGAGGCTGCCACACTGACCCCTATCCACTCCAGGTATGCGGCTCAGATGGGGTTACCTATGGCACTGAGTGTGACCTGAAGAAGGCCAGGTGTGAATCACAACGAGAACTGTACGTCGCGGCTCAGGGGCCCTGCCACAGTGAGTGGTCCCTATACCGGTCCCTATCCGCAGACCGGGAGCACCTGGGACATGTGCTCATGCATCTGTGTAGTGACCTGTATGTGCGTGAGTGTGTGTGTGCTCTCCTGGGTTTGTGGATATGTATTGTATTAGCTGTGCACTGTTGGTGCATTCCACCTGGTGCAGTTGTAGTGTGTCGGCAAGTGTGCAGCAGATGTTACCATGTGCAAGGCCAGCCCTTGATGAAACAGCCAGGAACATGGGGCAGGGCCTCTTTGAGATGCTATGGGTGGAAAATGACAATGGTCTGGTATAGGTGTCACATCTATTGTAAGTGTGCACACACAAGTTTTCATGAATGTACTTGTGCATGTACACAGATGCATGGCTTCACAGGTATATATAACTGAGTGTGGTTTAGGAGGTCCATGCATGAATGTGCAGGTACAATGTGCGATAAAATATAGAGTGAATATTTACATTTTAAAAATTTATCACAGAGCCGGGCGTGATGGCATACTCCTGTAATCCCAACACTTGGGAGGCTGAGGCAGGCAGATTATTGCAAGTTTGAGACCAGCCTGGGCTACAAAGTGAGCCCCAAGGCTAGCCTGAACCCCATAGTGAAACCGTCTCAAAAAGACCAAAAAAAAAATTATTACAGTAGAAGACATATTGCCATGAATCTCCCTCAAAATATTCCACCTTGCTTAGAACACATTTACCCTATTGTTCTTGCCACTTTCTGAAGCAATTTTGGAAATCCTCCTTTGCAAATGATCTTTGTAAAGTATGATTAGGCATGGTGGTGCACACCTGTACCTGTAGCTAGGCATGGTGGTGCACACCTGTACCTGTAATCCCAGCACTTGGGAGGCTGAGGCAGGAAGATCATTGTGTGGCTGAGATCATGTTGGGCTACGAGTGAGCTCATGGCAGCCTGAATAGTATAGCAAGACTCTGTCTCAACAAGACAAAAAAAAAGACAATAAAGAAAGAAAGAAAGAATCCTGCTACCAAGTGTTATCTACTGGAAAGCCACGCTTACAAAAACATGACAATGTGTTCTTATCTTATTCATAGACCTGGTACCATGTCAAAATGACTATGAAAAGAAAACACTTCAAATCAGTTCATGAAATCAAGGCAGCCAGCACAGCGCAACTAAAGATAACTTACAAAAGAGGACTTCTAAAACTGCTTCAGAAAGTGGCTGGAGCAGTGGGATAAGATTATTTGAAGCTACCAAAAAAGAAAGGAGAAAGAGAGGCCAGGGATATATTCCTGCAGCACAGTACCTGGCAAGTGCAAGGTCCTGAGTTCGATTTTTATTTTGTACCAAGAATCAGACTCACAACCTCATCTCACACTTGCCAGGCAGTTACTTATGCCTCGGAGCTAAATCCCTGACCCCTAGTTTGATTTCTTTTTTTTTTTTTTTTGGTCTTTTTCCTTTTTATCGGTACCAGGGATCGAACTCACGACTGTCTGCTTGCAAGGCAGGCACTTATGCCGCTGAGCTAAATCCCCAGCCCCCCCTAGTTTGATTTCTGATACAAAAAAAAAAAATTGAAGCAAGAGAGATTATTGTGAGGAAAATTAATGGCAGTGTGTCTTACTGTAATAATTTTTTTTTTCTACTTGGGACACTTGTGAACTGTAATAATTTTTTAAAGAAAATATTCATTATATTTTTCTGTCATATCTCATACACATCTCCATGTATATGTGTGCTAGTTTGCAGAGACATTTATCTGTATGTGTGTGTGTGGCCTTAGTTGTATATTTTTAGGGCTGTGTGACTGATTTTGGATTATTCTTTGTGTAAGTGGCCCCTGAATTTCTTGTGTGTTCTGGATCCTATGTTCACTAATATGTCATTGTATTTGATGTGGTGACACTAGCTCAGATCCCCAAGGCCCCAGTAGGGATTGGGATCAAGAGGGCTGAGTAGTGATGGCATGGGGAGTTTGGGCAGAGTGACCAGGTCCAGGGTGATCGACCAGCACTGCCTGAAATCTGAACCTGTCTTCCCACAGGTCCTACATTGGCACCACTGCCACCTGTGTTTCTTTCACACTGTGCCCAGACCCCATATGGCTGCTGCCAGGACAATGTCACTGCTGCCAGGGGTGTGGGCCTGGCTGGCTGCCCCAGTGAGTACCAAGCCAGCCCTGAGCCCTGGCCAGGTGCAGCTGTGTGGTCACGTGACACTCACTGCCTCTTCTTGCAGGCACCTGCCAGTGCAACCCACATGGCTCCTACAGTGGCACCTGTGACCCAGCCACAGGGCAGTGCTCCTGCCGACCAGGCGTGGGAGGCCTTAAGTGTGACCGCTGTGAGCCTGGCTTCTGGAATTTCCGTGGCATTGTCACTGACAACCTGAGTGGCTGTACTCGTGAGTGATGGCCCCCATTGGCCTGGCCTCTGCCCACTGGGGCTCTGAAACAGGTGCGAAGCATACACAGGTGCAGACATCGGGCTTCCCCTTCTCTCCTAGCCTGCAGCTGTGACCCCCAGGGTGCTGTGCGGGACGACTGTGAGCAGATGACTGGACTGTGCTCCTGCAAGCCAGGAGTGGCTGGGCCCAAGTGTGGGCAGTGTCCAGATGGCCAAACCCTGGGCCCTACTGGTTGTGAAGCAGGTGAGGGCAAGCCAGTGATGACATGGGGCTCCTTGTGTGGGGAACAGTATGAACTAGGGCTCTCACATATTTGCCCCAGGCTCCTTGATGCCCAAGACCTGTGTGGAGATGCACTGTGAGTTTGGAGCTTCCTGTGTGGAAGAAGCTGGTTCTGCCCGCTGTGCCTGCCCAGCCCTCACGTGCCCAGAGGCCAATGCCACTAAGGTGAGGTCAGAAGTATATGGAGGGTGGTCGGGTGGGGGAGAAATTGCCTGAGCATTCCCATCCTGTGCCCCAGGTCTGTGGGTCAGATGGTATCACATACGGCAATGAGTGCCAGCTGAAGACGATTGCCTGCCGCCAGGGCCTGGACATCTTCACCCAGAGTGTTGGCCCATGCCAGGGTACAGTCCATAAGCCACCACCCAGAACTGACCAGGAAGGCCCCCCTGCCCCAACTCCAGCCCCCAACTGCTCTCTCCTTGTAGATGCTGTTGCTCTTGGCGTATACCCCACATCTGTATCCATGACCACCCTGGAGCATGTCCTGAATGAGGCGCTGCCGTCCCCCTCCAGTGCCCTTTCCCTGGCACCCAGCAGTATTCCCCGCAGCCAGGCTACTCCTCTACCCACATCACGACCCTGGACCACATCCAGCATCCCCAGGCCCACGGCAAGACCTGGGCCTGTGCTAACCATGCCCCCCACAACCACCTCCACCACTGCCAGCCTTCCCGCATCAGCCTTCGGTGAATCTGGCAGCACCAATGGGAGTGGTGATGAGGAGCTCAGCGGAGACCAGGAGGCCAGTGGGGGAGGCTCTGGGGGTAAGCAGGGGCTCAGGGGCCTGGCAGCAAATTCAGAGTGAGCAGGAGTTTGGGGTCATGGGTGCAGGTCAGGGGTGAGCAGGGATGAGTTCAGGAACGTGGGAGCAGAGTCCAGAGAAGTTGTCACCTGGGACTGAGCCCCTGTGATACCTCCCCAGGACTTGAGCTCCCCATGGGCAACAACATTGTGACTGCTGGGCCACCCATCGAGAGGGCTTCCTGCTACAACTCTCCTTTGGGCTGCTGTTCAGATGGCAAGACACCCTCACTGGATGCAGAGAGCTCCAACTGCCCTGGTAAGTGGGCAGTGGGGGCAAGACAAGGCTTGAGGAACAACCTGGACACGCCAGGGCACTGTCCCTGCAGCAGGTCGGTACTGGGTTTGTAATCTTGTGGCACTGGCACACGCGTGTGGCGATTCAGTACATACACACACACACACACACACACACACACACACGTGGTCTAAGCCCCCAAACACATGTGCGGGCCAGGACCCTTGCCTAACCGTCTCTCTCCTTGCAAGCCAACCTGGGGCACCTTCTCCGAGGAGTTCACCTGGTAACTGATGCCAACCCTGCCCTGGGGTGCCCACTAACCTCATGACCATTTGACTAACATCCACCTGCCCTTGTGCCCCAAGTGGCTTGCTGTGCTCTACAATGGGAACATGCCCATGACTGGCCCAGGAGGCCAGGTGGGTGCCCAGCAGGGCCTCACTGCCCCTCCCCCGCAGCCACCAAGGCGTTCCAGGGCGTACTGGAGCTGGAGGGGGTCGAGGGGCAGGAGCTGTTCTACACACCTGAGATGGCTGACCCCAAGTCAGAACTGTTTGGGGAAACTGCCAGGAGCATTGAGAACTCGGTGAGTGTGAGGCAGCTCCTGGGACAGAACCACAGGAGTGCCAGGACAGGGCCAGCTGCAGCTGGTTTGAGGTGATGCCTCATGTCCTCACATTTCCCTGCCGGCAGCTGGATGACCTGTTCCGAAACTCAGATGTCAAGAAGGACTTCCGGAGTGTCCGCCTGCGGGACCTGGGGCCTGGCAGATCGGTCCGAGCTATTGTGGATGTGCACTTTGACCCCAGTGAGTCCCCCAGGCTGGGGTCTTCCCAGGAGACGATGGGTGGGGGCTGCAGGGGCCAGGCTGTGCTCAGTACCCTTTGTGCCTCAGCTACGGCCTTCAGGGCTCCCGATGTGGGCCAGGCCCTCCTCCGGCAGATCCAGGCATCCAGACGCCGGACCTTACTGGTGAGGAGGCCTCTTCATGAACATGTGCGATTCATGGACTTTGGTAAGCACCCTGAGAGCAAGGATGGGTTGGTCCCCTTTCCCTGTGTCCTAGCCCTGCAGGCTCTGACAGTTGTACACCCCACAGACTGGTTTCCAGCCTTCTTCACAGGAGCTGCTACAGGAGCCACGGCTGCAGTGGCCACAGCCAGAGCCACCACCACAGGCCAGCTGCCCTCTGCTGTAACCCCTCGGGCCTACCCCAGTCACACCAGCCGACCTACTGGCAAGACCACAGCACCCCTCACCACACGCCGGCCTCTCACTACGCTCCCCAGCCGCATGGCAGGACACCAACCCATTCCCCCAGACCCTCAGCAGCCACTGAGGCCCTGTGCCTCCCAGCCCTGCCTCTATGGGGGCACGTGCTGGGACCAGGACTCTGGCCAAGGCTTCACTTGCAGCTGCCCAGCGGGCAGGGGCGGCATCATCTGCGAGGAGGGTGAGAGTGGGCAGTGCAGGGGACAGGCATGCAGGATTAGAGGGGGCACCTGGGCTGAGGAGCCGCAGCGTGCCCCCCTCTAGCCAGCCTCCCTGCCCCCGCAGTATTGCGCCCCTCTCTGCCTGCTTTTGGAGGCCACTCCTTCCTGGCCTTCCCCACCCTACGCGCCTACCACACACTGCGCCTGGCACTAGAATTCCGAACACTGGAGCTGCAGGGGCTGCTGCTCTACAATGGGAACAACCGTGGCAAAGACTTCTTGGCGCTGGCTCTACAGGGTGGGCGGGTGCAGCTCAGGTATGCTGAGTGGGGGTCCACCGGTTTATGGGGGTGGGGACAGTGTAGGCAGAACCATTGTGGAGGGGGGTCTGCTAGCTCAAAAGGATGGGTGGGGCAGGGCGGATTAGGCATCTTCTAGGTTGGGGGCGGAGTTGGTATGGTCGGGGCCACATCACCTGCAGTTTGGGGTGGGCCAGGCTAGTCCTGGTAAAACTGGGGGATACTGGTAGGGTGAGCCAGATCATCTCCTGAGTCCCTGCTCCTGCCCTAGGTTTGACACAGGTTCTGGGCCAGCAGTGTTGACCAGTTCCGTGCCTGTGAAACTGGGCCGGTGGCACCGCCTAGAACTGTCAAGGCATTGGCGCCAGGGCACACTGTCTGTGGATGGCGAGAGCCCTGTTGTGGGCGAGAGCCCCAGTGGCACGGATGGCCTTAACCTGGACACGGACCTTTTTGTGGGTGGCGTCCCAGAGGACCAGGCTGCTGTGTGAGCAGGAGTAGGATGGAGTGGCCCAGGCCCCAGTATTCACCTTGACCTCCACCTTCATGCTGACCTCTGACTCTGTGACCCCAGCTACTCTGTGCATGCTAAGAGGATGGGATGGGTGTGGATGGTGGCTGTGATCCCAACCTGGATCCCAGGCTATGACCTGTCCTGCCCCTGTCCTATTTGTGACGGCCTCCTGGTTCTGATCCTGATCTTCAGTCTTGATAATTAACCCTCAACTCCAGCCTCTCACTTTGCTTTTTATGGTACTGGCCACCTTGTAAGCATCTGGAAATGGGAGTGGACCTGACCCCAGCTCTTGGGACATTCAGGGTTACAGTGGACTGTAAGAGAGGGTACCTCTAGCCTTTTCCTCTGCCCCCTGATCCTGTTCTCATGCCAGGGTGCTTGAGCGGACCTTCGTTGCAGTTGGCCTGAAAGGCTGCATCCGGTTGCTGGACATCAACAACCAGCGGCTGGAGCTGGGCAGCTGGCAAGGAGCTTCGACCCAGAGCTCTGGCGTGGGCGAGTGTGGGGAAAACCCCTGTGTGCCCAACCCCTGCAGCAGTGGGGCGCCATGCCAGGCACTTGACGATGGCATGTTCCACTGTCAGTGCCCACCTGGCCGCTTTGGTGAGAGAAGGCTTGGGCCAGGTGCCAGGAGTGGAAACCTCGTGTCTCAGGGACTCACATGTCTTGAGACCCCTATCAATCTCGCTTTAGGTCTGACCTGTGCCAGTGAGAAGAACCCCTGCCAGCCAAACCCTTGCCATGGAGCAGCCCCTTGCCGTGTACTACCCGAGGGAGGGCCGAAGTGCGAGTGCCCCCTTGGGCGTGGGGGCGCCCTCTGCCAGACAGGTAGGGACTCAGGGCAGTGTGATGCATTAGGGTCAAATGTTTGGGTTGAGTTGTGGTTCAGTTTTTCAGTCTCATGGGAGCTGGGACTTAGCCTGGTACCAGACTTGAATTGAGTACAAGATACAAGGCTGTAGGGCAGTGGGGTACAGGAGACCTGAGGAGTCAGCACGAGCATCCTTGAGACATCCCCCCATCTGGCTTTCCATAGACTTGGAGAAGGACCATGGCTCCCAGCCCTTCATGGCGGATTTCAGCGGCTTCTCCTATCTGGAGCTGAAAGGCCTGTACACCTTTGAAAGAGACCTGGGGTCAGTAGGTGTCAGGGGAGGGGCTTGGCAGAAGAATGAACTACACTGAACCTGTTGGGGAGGGGACAGTGGGACACCTCTACAACCCCATATGACCCCAGAGAAAAGATGGCGCTGGAGGTTGTGTTCCTGGCCCGTGGCCCCAGTGGCTTGCTCCTTTACAATGGGCAGAAGACAGATGGCAGAGGAGACTTTGTGTCGCTGGCCCTGCGTGACTGGCATCTGGAATTCCGTTATGACCTGGGCAAGGGCCCTGCAGTCATCAGGTGGGCAGGCGTGGTCGGGCTGCAGACTCTGGGCTTTCCCTGGTGGAGGTGTGACTGGGAGTGCATGTTGGTGTCACCGCACAGCAGATCCCAGAGCCTGCTCATAGTGCTGTTCCCACAGGAGCAAGGAGCCAGTCGCCGTGGACACCTGGACAAGGGTCTCACTGGAGCGCAATGGCCGCAAGGGTGCCATGCGTGTGGGCGATGGGCCCCGAGTGCTGGGGGAGTCCCCGGTGAGTGTCTAGGAGTAAGGTCTGTGGCCTCCACCACCCTGCCTGGCACCCCTTCCTCGACCCAGGGGCTGGGCACCCCGTATCTGGCTCTCATGAAACTGTTTTTTCTTGTCTGTCCTGCGCCTCCATCTGTTTTCTCTCTGCCCTCACTGCTCTCTGGCTTTTGCTCTGCATCCCCACCCGCTCTCCGGATGTCAGAAATCCCGCAAGGTACCGTCCGCCTCTTACCCTGCCATCGTCTTCTCCCCCACCTTAGAGTAGCCCCTTCCCACTGACTCCTGCGTCTCCATCTCTCTGTGACTCACAGTGCCACCTAGGGAGTGGGGTCCGGCTCTGGGCACCCTGGCATGCACTTGGCCTTTCCCTGCCCACTGGGCCCCCCACAGCTCCTCACCCAGTGTCTCCTACAGGTGCCTCACACTGTGCTCAACCTGAAGGAGCCACTCTATGTGGGGGGCGCCCCTGATTTCAGTAGGTTGGCCCGGGCAGCTGCGGTGTCCTCTGGCTTTGATGGTGCCATCCAGCTGGTATGAGGGATGGGGTGGGCATACAGAAAGGATCTCTAGTGAGGGTCCTGAGTTAGGTGACTAAGGCCCTTATCCCTGCACCTTATAGGTTTCCCTGGGAGGCCGCCAGTTGCTGACCCAGGAACATGTGCTGCAGGCAGTGGGCATCTCCTCCTTTGCAGACCACCCTTGCACCCAAGCCTCGGGCCACCCCTGTCTTAATGGAGCCTCGTGTCTCCCCCAGGAAGCCACCTATGAGTGCCTGTGTCCCTCAGGCTTCTCAGGGCTGCACTGTGAGAAGGGTAAGCTCTGGCAGCAAACGGCTGAGGCTGGACGAGGCCCCAGGGTTGCCTGGAGCCCGTGTAACTGCCTGTGTCTCAGGACTGGTTGAAAAGTCGGCGGGGGACCTGGACACATTGGCCTTTGATGGGCAGACCTACATCGAGTACCTCAATGCTGTGAGGGAGAGGTAATGCACCTCCGGGAGCCAGGCACCCCTCTACCTTCTGCTGTCTGTCTAGTCTTGTCTGTCTGTGCATGCCCGCAGTGCAGAGCAGGACACCAGGCCCATACAGACACACAGACACACACACACACACACACAGACAGACACACACACACACACACACACACACACACACACACACACACACCACCCACCCACACACACACACAAACACTGGTCTGTGCCAGGAAGCCACGACCAGCATCTGCCCTACTTGTGCCTCCTTCCTTCTCATTGTCTCTGTCTCTTTGTTTCCAAGCAAACTGGCCAATGAGATCCCATTGTAAGTAGCCTCTGTGCCCCCTCCACACCATGCTCTTGTGTCCGTCATACGCCCCCTGCCTGGCTGCACTGTCCTGAGCTTCCCATTCTGGATGGAGGATGGGTGTCGGGCTGTTTGTACTGTGTGAGGCTCATCCCTCACCTTGGAAGTGGGGACCTCCCCCTCCCAGGACCCATGCCAAAGGCTGTTTGCATCACCCCCCATGATGACACCCACAAGTGCTGTGTATTTATGTGCAAGTTTCCATGTGCATACATGCTATGTACATATCTGCCATGAATGTGCAAGCACACGTATGCACATGCCCATGTGTTCCATGTGAACAGAAGTGTGTGTAAGATGTACTGTACATGTGTACATGTATGTGTTCTTGTGTGTCGGTACATATGCACAACGCATGTGTGCCGGACAGCCAGGGCTACTCCCTGGCAGATGAGCTCTGTGTCTCCATCTGTGTCACCATGTCTACCCCATGTCCTGTGCATCTTGCCGGGCAATGCCTCCAGCTGTGCTGTGCACAGGCGTTACATACGTGTCATTGTCAAGGCTCTGGGGTATGGGCCTGCGGTAGCCGGGTCATGCATGGCTCAGCGTATGCCTGCCAGTATTGAAAAGGGGACTTCCGGGGACTTCAGCCTGTCCGCCCTGCTCACCGCTTCCCTCTCTTCTTGCTTCAAAGCCCGGAAGCTCCCGATTCCGGGTCCTTTCACAGGTGAGCGCTGGCAGTGCCTGAGCCCCCAGCTGGCCCTCACCCTGCCGTGTGCCTGTGTCTTGTCTTCATCTCTTTCTCCATTTCTCTGCCATTCTGTCCCTTCATCCATCGGCCTCTCCCCTGCCCTACTACTGCTGCCCTTGCCCATGCAGCTACCCTGGATCCCATCGGCAGCTTCAGCCCGCCCACCTCCCCACCCTGGCCCCTGCTGCCTTCCTGAGGGCCTGACCCACCCTTCTTCCCCACAGCGAGAAGGCGCTGCAGAGCAACCACTTCGAGCTGAGCCTGCGCACCGAGGCCACTCAGGGGCTGGTGCTGTGGAGCGGCAAGGCCACAGAGCGTGCAGACTATGTGGCTCTGGCCATCGTGGATGGGTACCTGCAGCTGAGCTACGACCTGGGCTCCCAGCCCGTGGTGCTGCGCTCCACTGTGAAGGTCAACACCAATCACTGGCTGCGGGTTAAGGCTCACAGGTGAGAGGCTCACTGCAGGTACTTTGGGCAGCACCTTAACTCACCCAGCTCAGTCATGTCTGGTCACTTGTGGTTACTAGCTGCCTGCCTTAGGGTCACTAACAGTGCAAGGAAGGAGGGATGGACAAGAAGGTGTGAGGGAAGCAAGAAAGTGTGAGGTGGGGACTTGTGCTGCCATCCTGCCCCTGGCAGTGACTCCATTGTGGTCTCCAGGATGTGGCACATGCACAATATGGACAGAGATGTGTGGCTCAAATGGTGGGGGAGGCAGGGCACTGATCATCTTGTACCCTCAGGGAGCAGAGGGAAGGGTCCCTTCAGGTGGGCAATGAAGCCCCTGTGACTGGCTCGTCTCCACTGGGCTCCACACAGCTGGACACAGATGGAGCCCTGTGGCTCGGTGAGTGTCTGGGGAAGGCCAAGGAAGGGGACCAGCAGGGTAACAATGTTGGAGACAGACTCAGTCTGGATTCAGCCCGTCAGAACAGCAGTGAGCAGCTGGGACAGGGCTGTGGCCTTCAGGCCAGGGGAAGGAGTGCATGAGTGGACACACCTGTTGGCTACTGTTCCCAAGCACCCCTGCGCCCTCCGCCCACTCTGGTGCGAAGTTGCAGCTGAGTGACTTCCCTTTGTCTGCCTTATAGGGGGCCTTCAGAAGCTGCCTGTGGGCCAGGCCCTGCCCAAGGCCTACAGTACAGGCTTCGTGGGCTGCTTACGGGATGTAGTGGTGAGCGGGCGCCCACTGCACCTGCTGGAAGATGCAGTCACCAGGCCAGAGCTGCGGCCCTGCCCTGCACCCTGACCAGCACCCAAGACCCCACCCACCCTGCTGTAATTATTTTCTATTTTTGTAAACTTGTTGCTTTTCAATATGATTTTCTTGCCTGTGTGATGGCCAGAGGGACTGCTGACCTGGCCTCCCTTCTGTCCTGGCAGCTGTACTGCGGAGACACATGATGCCCAGGGACCCACAGGGGCACCTGGCACCCTCAGGACTCGCTCTTCTGCCTCAGGGCGGCACACTGCAGCCCCTCGCACCATGTGTTCCCAGCGTGTCCACCTGTGTCAGTCCCTGTGTCCCCGCTCCCCGTAATACCGTGTTCTCTTGGATGGGGTCCATGTTCCACAGCAGGCGCCTTCCGAGCAAGTCCCAGGGCCTCCTGTCCTCACGAACACTCCTCTTGCCTGCGTGTGCTGTAGGTGAGCCTCCCCTGGGCTTGCCTGGACCCCAGGCCTCTGTGCCAATGCTGTGACCTAGAAATAATGTTACTTTGCGTCCCTGCCCCACACCCCCAAGTGTGTCTGCTAGCTCCAGGGTGCTGGGGAACAGAGCCCAGAGCCAGGCCCACTTAGGGCACCCTCACTGGCCCTGCCCGTCCACCCTGGATATATCCCTCATCGCCACACTCCATGTCCAGTGGGGAACTTCTGAGGGAGTGGACCACTGTGTGATGCAGCCTGCTGCGTGGACAGCCAGCCTCCTTCCCTCAGGGGTGGCCTGACCAGCAACCATGTTCTCTAGACACTGGTGTCACTTGATGCACAAAGGTCAGATCTTTTGTCCTTCTGTCCTGGACCTAAAACAGTACAAGTTGCTGACCAAGTCCACCGTGAGGGTGGCTGAGCTCATCTGAGAGTGGCCAGGGCTAGCCTGGTGCCTGACCAAGGCCAAAGGGCAGGTCTAGGTGTGGCAGAGATGGCAGTGGAGCTAGAAAGGCCTTAAACTGCATCATCCGACCTGCCACCCCGCCCTCCATGCAAGCTGCGCAAAGCCTTTGAAGGCTTCTTGTGAGGTGGCAGCCTGGCCCCGTAGCAGGGAAGAGGGAAGCAGGAGAGAGCTGCATGGTGTTTTGTTACTAACTCCTGTATGTGTCCGTCAAACACCATGAAATAAAATCTGTAAATACAGAAGGGCTGTGTCTGTTGTGTGCCAGCTGCCAGCTTTAAGCTTGGGGCCTTTTGAGGGCTCCATATGAGGGCACAGGCTTCAAGTTCCCCAAAAGGCCCTGATTGGAGGACCAGGCCCACACTGGGGAGACGTGATGGGATGCAGAGTTTACTCTGAGTGGCTTCCTTGGGACAGCAAAGCTGCAGTGCGTGAGTCTGCACATGGAGCAGTCTCCATGTGAGCACAAGATGGGGACCCTGGTGGGGAGCAACTGTTGGCACTTCTGGGAGAGCTTGCCAGGCAGCCCTGATGGGATTATGGGTGACCATTGGCAGGGGGCCATGCATCTCAGGAGGAGCTGAGAAAGAGAGGGACTTGTGGATTTAAAGATAATGTGTTTTTTTTAAAACTTGTATTAGTGAAAGAGAAGTCCTCCTCTCCAAAGAAAAGCAAGAAAGTCCAGACCCCGGTTTGAGGATTTAGCTCAGTGGCGTAAGTGCCTGCCTGGCAAGCACAAGGTTGTGAGTTCGATCCCGGAGCCACCAAAAAAAAAAAAAAAAAGAGTACAGACCCAGAGACCTTGTGCTTCTGTAGCATTTGCTGTATTAGCTTCATTTCCTTGCTGGGCCAGGGTCTGGTGCCCAGGATGAGGAGCAGAGCCCCGTAAGGGTGCAGAGGTGGTAGATACTCTCATGACAGGAACTGAGGGATCAGGCAGAGGCTGAAGTAGCCTTGGCTTCAGAATAGGTTGGGACCAGCTAGAGGTGGTCAGCCCCTGCTGGGTACAGGGGCTGTAAGAACCCCTCAACAAGGAGTCATGCCAGTGCCCAGTACAGGAGGCACCAATGGGGTACAGTGTAGGAGTGCATAGCTCTTGAGAGACAGGACCTGGGATGGGGATTGCAAGGAGGTCTCAGCAGGGTTGGGAGTGACAAGTGAGAAGACTGGACAGCACAACCAGAGGGCTGTGCCCAGGTGTCCCTGCCTGCCCTGCATCCACCCTCTCCTTACCCAGCAGCTCCGTAGGCTGTGTGAAGGCCCTGTGGTAGTGTTTTTGTTGGATTTCCACTCATTTACACTTAGCTCAGCCTAGGTACTAGACACAGACCTTCAAGAAGTCTGGTCCGGGGAGCTGAGGGCCTGGCTTGATTGCAGGCAGGATTCTAGCTCTGGATTCCACGTGCCCTTTAACAGAAGTGACCTGATTTCCTTACCAGAGAGACCTCAGCCACTGCCATGGTGAGCGGCTGGGGACTTGAGCTGGGGCGCCTGCAAAGGGGGACAGGACCCACCTGGGTGGCAGGCAGCTCTCTTGGGGCCCTCACATGGGTGCCCTGTTTGTTCCTTTGTGGGGCCTTGGCCATAGCTGCCCCTGCTATCTGGGTGGCACTCAGGACAAGATGTCCCACAGCCTCATTGGGGACAATTGCTGTGGTGGGGTGGTCACAGGGTCAGCACTGGGTCACTGCTGAAGGAGGGGAGGAGTCCACTGTTCTGCCCCTGCTCCTCTCCATCCTCTGCCCTCCCCTGCCTGCCCTCCCTTCCCTCCTCCCTCTTCTCTTCCCTTTCCCCCTCCTTCCCCTTTCTATCCCTTCCCTCTCTCTGTCTCTTTCTCCAGTACTAAGCTACATCCCCAGCTCTCCATCTTGCTAAACTGCCCAGACTGAACTCTGTTGATAACCCTGCCTCAGTCTTCTGGAATTACAAGCATGTGCCCCACGCCTGGCTTTGTTTTTCTCTTGTCAACATTCCCAGAGGCTCTGAGTTGACCACAGGACAGCAAGTAATCCCTGAGCCCAGAAATCTCTATCCTGAAGAGGATGGGCTGGGACCAGAGGCACTCAGGGCCCAAGTAGGGTCCCAGAAATGGGCTCCTGTGCAGCCTGGGAGCCTGGGCACCTGGGGTTGGGTCCCAGGCAGCTGCAGATGGGACTGACCCAGGGAGAAAGGTGGGAGAGGTCTGGCCTGGTGGAGTTGCTCTCCAGGAGTGGTGTATCCTGGGCTGCTCTTAGCAACTGTCAGCAGAACAGAATGGAGCTGGGCATGCCTTCCCACCCTGCATCCATCTGCTTGCCTCCTACACTCGTCCACTAGTCACCTGCATCCACTCCTTAACCATTTGTTTTTTTGTTCAAACAGTGCTAGGGAGTGCTGTAGCATTGAGGGGTAACCCTAGTGCTCTCTGAGCTGTATCCCCGTTTGATTTTTTATTTTGAGACAGAGTCTTGCTAAGTTGGCTGAGCTCATCTCAAATTTATAGTAATCCTACGTTAGCCTCCTTTTTTTTTTTTTAAATCGGTACCAGGGATCAAACTCATGACTGTGCGCTTGCAAGGCAGGCACTTACCCAGCTGAGCTAAATCTCCAGCCCCCTTTTTTTTTTTTGGAAGGGAGCCCACCACTCGGGGCTGCCATGAGACGGGAGGCAGCCCTCAAGTCCCTCTCCTGCCCAGCCTGGAAGTGGCCCTTTAGTCCTCCTTCCCCAGGTGGTCCTGACTCCCTCCTTACAAAGGTGGCCCATCAGTCCTCCTGCCACAGGGCAGAGGTGGCCCTTAGTCCTTTCTCCTTCCCTGACCATTTGGCAGAGTCCATGCAGCCTCCAGGATCCAAGACAAGGACCTCAGACACTTCTGTTTATACTGTTCTCTACCTCAGCCTCTTGAGTAGCCGAGATTACAACTATGCACCACTATCCCCCCTTTATTCATGAACTCAAACGATTAATGAATTTAAATTTATTTATTAAATGCATTTATTTATTGATCCCTAGGCACTGTTTTTGGCCCTGGGATACAGCAACACACAGAGCAAGTCCCTGCTCTCAAGGAGCTTACATCCTGGGGTAGGAGGCAAAAACATAAATGCAGTATTTATATCAGTGAAGTGATAAATATCACAGAAACAGGTGGTGACAAGCTGAGCCCTGCGTTGGTCAGCAGGCTTGTCTAACCAATTACCAGGAACACTGGAAGAGTGCTTTTTTTCTTTTTCTTTTTTTTTTTGGTGCCAGGGATTGAACTCATGACATCGCGCTTTCCAGGCAGGCACTTAAGCCACTGAGCTGAATCCCCAGCCCCGTGGAAGAGTGCTTCTTTCCACAGAGGTGGAAGCCAAGGCTGAGGTTGGGCTTGTCTGAATAGGGTCTGAAGAGGGCTGGCATCAGGCAGTGCCCACACTAGATTGGGAAGCAAGCATCCTGCAGGAGACACTCCTTGTGGATGCACTAGGGGCCATCTATCCACAGGACTCCATACCCTCTGCCTCCTTCCCATGGGCCTCTGAGCTTTGATATTCTTCTACCACAGGGATGGGATAGGTATGGGGACAAGGTTATCCTTCCTGATGACCTCAACCTAACATCTGCCCGAGGGCCTTCAGGCGGATGGGCAGAAAGCCCCCATGCAGGACTGGATGCCAGAGGATTCTGTCCTGTAGGGGCACAGTGACCTCTGGGCAGGAGAAAGAAACTCATGAGGCCTTAGGACAGGCTCAGCAGAACAAGGACAGCCATAGACCCACTGCCTGCCCTGAGGGCTCTGTTGGTGGGGCCCTGTGCCTCAGCTCCTGGGGATGCTGTCCACTGGGGTCTGCCTAGAGCCTTTGGAGGGTGCCTTGTGGTGAGAAGGAAGAGGCAGACCAGGAGAGTGGACAATGGCCCTTTAGTCTGTCCTCGACATAGAAGGAGGACATCATGAGCAGAAGGACAGCTGGAAAGAGGTTCCAACAAGGCCTAGTCTTCCTTAGTCATCTCCAGAGCCTGGGGGTGGGGCAGCCATCCATGGCATAAGCAGTCTTCATTTTGGAAAGACCAAAGTTTCTTCCTTGGAGCTCCCCACCCACACTGTCAGGGCACACTTGTGGGTGGCAGGGCCCGACCCTGGCAGTGGATTCCTGGGAAGAGGTCTGGAGGTGGCAGAGTCAAGGGAGAGTTGCCCTGGAGTTCCAAGGCCAGTCCTGGCCTAGGAAGGACTTGGCCTTGCCCCCAAGTTTCCTAGTAGGAGAATTGTGGGGCCAGGACCCTGTTCAGGAAAAACAGAGGCTGTTCTGAGCGCTGAGGATGCCACATTAAGGGAGGCCATGGAGTCTGGCACACACACACACCCATGACAGCTGATACTCCCCTTCCAGGTGCCACAAGACCCAGGGCACTGATAGCCACCACTACCTGTGTTGAGAGACAGTGCAACATCACACAGGCTGCTCTGAGATCCACCACCGTGGGCCAGAATCCATGCTGGAGCAGTGAGCCCAGGCCAGGGTAGTGTGTGTGTGTGGACCTGTGTCTGTGGGCGTAGTCTTGGGAAACCACAGTCCCTAGCCCAGGAATATCTGCAGCTCCCTTCCCTGAACCTGGCCTTGTTTCCTTCAAGCCTGAGGCCCCAGAGGCAGGGGTAAGAGTGTAAAGAGCAGGTCATGCCCTGGTTGTACCTCTGCCCTCCTTGCTGGTGGCCTGGGGTGAGCCAGCTCCTCAATTTTAGTGTCCCAACTCTGCAGAGAAGAGTTGCATCTTCTCAAGGAGCCACTCAGTTGGGGAAGTTTTCCTTGCTGAGGATCACGCTGCCACCTGGTGGTCACTATGGTTCACCCGCAGATTGCCTGTCCTGCTTCAGCCTCAGGTGGTCAGGGAGTCAGCCTTAGCCCTGGCCAACGTCTTTGAGTGTCTTTCTGGGATCTGCCTCCTACGAGTCTCTGTCCACCTAATGTGTGCTTTACCAGGCCAGGTCTAGCAAGCAAGCTGAGAAAGAACCCAGAATCTTCCTGGTGTGGAGAGAGCCAGCAGCTCTGGGGGCTGGTTCCCCAGTGCTGACCCGAATCCAGTAGAGTGCAGGCACTTCATGATCTACTGCCATGCAGGAGGCGGTACTAGTGGGCTGGGAAGGGCAGACTTCAAAGTCAGACCCCACTGCCACCCACAGCCCAACAGGAAGTGTGACAAGGGAGGTGGGGAGCACTTCACTCCCCTAGACCTTGTGGGACCTTACAGGGGAGCCTCCTCACGGCACAGAAATCAAGGACCCTGTCTCTTTTTAGCAGATGAACCCACATGAACCCTGCATCTTAGTGGCTTCTTCCCATGGGAGCCCCTAAGAATGCTACACAAGCCTCCAGGAGAAGGAGCCAGGTGGCCAGAGGTGAGGACGTTGGGTTTCGAGCAGGAGCCTGAGTAAGATATAGTAAGGCAGCTGCCCTGGGCTGTGGGCTGTCCCGGCCTCACAAGGCCAGAAGAGTGAGCCACCAGCATCAAGAGGCCACAGACACCAACAGGAGGTCCAACAGTCCTCTGGGAAGGATTTGAGGGCTGCCCTGGTCATCACCCAGTCCTTTCCTCTGGACTGGGTCATGGGAAGAGGGTTGGGCATTGAGAGCTATGCCAAGGGGCAGTGCCCCTGCCAAACCTCTGCCCCTCCCAAGAATGCCAGCTCCTGTACCACCAGGAGAGGCATAGTGGTTGGAGAACAAGCTCAAGAACAACTAAAGAACATCCTTAGCTGAGAGGCAAGGCCCAGGGCTCCTTCACACACCATTCTTCAGGGCTGGGCAGAGCAGGGAACACAGCTGCCACCAGGGGTGTGATGAGGTCTCCCCCCACCTCTGCTCACTACAGGGTCAGGGACAAGGAGGTAGAATGGTCCCTGAGCCACCTGCCTCTTTCAAGACCTGAAACTACACAGTGTGGAAGACGGCATGCCTGAAGCCAACCTGAAGCATGCCTGCTATGCCAGGAAGCAGTGTGATGGCACATCATTCCTGCAGTTGGACTGGGTCACACAGGATACCCCAAGTACCCTAATAGGAGCCTGCAGCTTCTTCCAGCAGGTCCTAAGGAATGCAAGGAAAATGTGGGCCTCACCAGGACTGAAGGCTGGTAGGGTAGCTGCAGTGCTGCAGGAGTCCCTGGAGCAGCCTGCCTGAGCATCGGTCCTAAGGCCCTCCTACCTCTAGGGACTGTGTGGGAGCCATCAGTCACTGTGCCACTTCACAAAAGTCTATCCTCTGGACTTTTAGTCCTGGAAACAGCAGGTGGTCAACAGTCACCTTTCTCAGAGTAACTCAGAAGAGAATTAGGCTGTGGAGTAGGCAAAGTGTCCATTGCCACCATGTCTGCAGACCACAGTGGCCCCTGGGCCATAGTGAGCACACTTATGGCCAAGACTACCAGAGAGGTGGCGAGAGGCTGCACGGGAGCTCTCTGAGTGCCCCTTGTACTACAGCTGACCCAGCCTTGTTGCTTCAGATAGTCAAGGAAACAGTCTTGCCTGACTGGTACAGGAGGCTGTGGACACTGGGACAGAGGTAGCCCTGAGAGATCTGCCAGTCTCCTTCTGGCACAGGTCTGCCAGAAAGATTGACACAAAGCACTGCCCCTGTAAAACAAATGTTTGTGTGTCTGGCCAAAGCCACAGGACAGCAAAACAGCTGAACTTGGGTGTAGACCTACTGTGTGAGAGAGCTGCAGGGAGTCTGATGGACAAAGGGTCAGTGTGGTCAGAGTCCCCAGGCATGTGTTGGGACCCTTGAGCTGAGACCTGCAAACCCAACTTCTCCAACTCCACTAGTTTTGGTGGCTTCCATGTCCTTCCACCCAGTGGACACAGTGCAGGCTGGTCTCTGGATAGTGTTCATGGACGCTGGCCACATTCTCAAGCCAACACCCCAGGCCCACGCCCATGGCTCCATGGTGGCCTCCTTCAGGGCATCTCCCATGGGTTCCCTTGGTCCAGGCAGCAGCTAGACTAGACCTGTTCTGTATGCCAGTGGTGGCATAGATGCCCTCCCTGTGCTCTGCCACTGTGCATGGGAGAATCCTGTGGGCATTGTGCACACCTCAGGGGGGCTCTGTCCAGATAGAGCTCTAGGCTGGGGACAGCAGCGCCCTCTGAATCTTGTGGGAGCTGCTCTGACCTGCAGGCCCTTGGTGGCCCATTGCAAGAGCAGCCATGGGCAGGAGCAATGCAGGGCGAGGTTAGACCTCCTGACTGGCTAACGGCAGGACCTAGGTCTCTCCCCGTGAATAGACCAGCCATTCGCCTGGCCCTCACAGGATGGCCTCTGTCATCATGATTGATATCCTCAGGGACAGACAACATGGGCAGGCTGGGTGATCACTCTGGCCCGCCCTCCCCTGAGACCACGCCCACCAACACCACCCTCCATGGGCCCCAGCTCCACCCTTCTTCCCCCTCCTCCTGCCTGGCCTAACCCTCTATCTAGCTCCGCCCTGTCTGGCCTTGCCCATTGCCCCCACTCCTAGTCCCCAGCTGCTCTGAGTCTGCTGGTCCCCAGGACTGGATTGTGACATCAACGACATCAATGTCCCAAAGACAATCTAGTACGGTGGCTGTGTTCAGGATGAAGTGCAGTACCACTTTGTGAATCTGGCTCTGCAGCGGTGCATGCAAGGGGCACAGCTTGTGCCTCTGTGAGCAGGCAGGGTAGGGGCTCCCAGACATCACCTTGTTGACCTCCAGTCCTTTCCCCCAACACGAATACCTGTGTATTTGAATCCCAGGATTGAGCCCAGGAAACCTGGCCACAGCACGGGAGCTGCACAATCTGGGCCCTCTGAGGCAGGCGTGAGGTAGGACGTTGGGGACAGGCAACACTACCAGGCAGGGCTTGGCATTAGGGCCCTGGGAGTGGCAAGCTGGCCTATGGGCCTCCAGGTACCCTCAAACTCTCCAGCAGGCCCCATTCCTCAGTCTCTTCCCTGAGGTCTAAGGACCGTGGCCAGTGACACCAGTGAACCTGTGTGTGCTACACATCAGCTGCCCCGCATGGGATTGTGTGTGATGTCAGTGACAGGCTCTGCACCTGACCTGCTGTGTCAGTGTTGGCTCAGGGCCCTGTCACCATCACTGTGAACAGGGCTGTGGGATGAGTGTGTGCTAGGGCATGTCGATGCGGCCCTAAGCTCCAGTGATGAGGGTGTGACTCATGTGTGTGACTGCTGACAGGGTGTGATGTCACTGGCACCTGGCGTGGAAGGCGCTGCCCCATCACAGTGACATCTCCAGTAAAGCACCATGTTCTCAGTCCTGTGTCTTCACTGTGGCTTGGGGCAGGGGCCCCTAAATATATATCTTGGTTGCCCTGAGCCCCCTCCTTGCCTTCCTAGTTGGAAATGAAGTACCTTGGGGTTAGAGATGAGGAGTCCAGGATCTTCCTGAGCTGGAAGAGCCTCCCTGACTTGGCCATGCCTGCCTGGTGCAGGATTCCTGGGGCTGATGCAGAGCCACGGTGCGGTGGACCTTGTGAGGCTGGGCCAGGAGAGCCAAGGCCCTGGTTTTAACACATCTGCCTTGGGAACTCTCAGGCCTTGGTTCTCACAGAGGTCACGGGCCTGTGGCTTTGTCCTGGTGGGTCATAGAGCCATGATTTCTTGGGTGTGGGTCCAGGACAGCCATGGTGAAGAGAAGGGGTCCCTCAGAGTCACTGGGTTCTGTAACTCACCCTCGTACCATGTCCCCTGACCTGGGGCTGAGGCTTGCTTGTCTCCTGGGAGGAGTGTCACTGTTCTGGGTACCAACCAAGTCCAGAACTGCCCTGCCTATTCAAAGCCCTGGTGATGGAGCAGTCCCCCAGAACCTCTGTCACCCCAGTGACTGGCAGGGTACCTTGGATGGAGGTTGGATGGGATGAAGTGGGAGCCTTTGCAGAGGGAGGAACTGAGCAACCCAGGGAAAGAAGCATGCAAGGTGATGAGATCCATCAAATATGGATACAAAATAGTTTATTTAAAAATGTCTTTTACAAGGGCAGGAGAGTCTGCTGGGGGTTTCTGTTGGGCTGGCCAAAGGGCTGCCCTGCCTCTGTACCCTGACCTGGGTCAGAGGACAAAGCTCAGAAACCCCACCCAAAGAAAGGGGCTAGCCTTTGTTTAGAGGGCCATGGGAAGACCCTGAAATGTCAGCATGGAGGGAGGGGACAGCCCCTCTCTTCTGGGCAATTCACAGTGAATTGGGGAGGGCCAGAGCAGCTTTGGGACATCTTCTGAACCCCTTCTCCATCAGCTTTCTGGGGTCAGGGGTTTCTGGCCTGTAGAAGCCTGTGGTTCTGGGAGCCTTTGGGGGCCCTTTATTCACCCAAAAGTCCTCACTGGAGTCCTGGGGCTGACACCTAGTGGGGGCCATGCCCTAACTCCCAAGGGCAGGGGTGGCAGTGGTAGGCCTGGCCCCTGGAGGCAGGCGACTGTGGCTGTTGGCTAGTGGCTGGAGGGAGAAGGCAGTGTGGCAGCAGTGGCAGCAGTGGCTGCATGCTGGTGGGACAGGCAGCGCAGATTTCCAGTCTTGAGGGCACACTGCACAGGCCACAGCACCACACAGAAAAGCAGCAGTAGCAGCACTGAGACGAGCGCCAGGCGCCGCCAGTCTGCACATCGCTCCCAGCAGCGGGCTAGGGGGGCCAAGCAGCCCTGGCGAGGGGCAGGGTCCGGTACAGGCACAGGCGGCATGGATTCAGCAGCCTTGCTTAGTCCGACATCCACGCACACAAAGCTGGGCGCCTCTTGACTAGGTGTGGTGGGTAGTGGGCGGCAGTACAGCTTGGTACCCTCCAACCACACCAGCTCCTCCCGTCGCAGGTGCGCTGGCAGCTTGGCCTGCAGCTGGCGGCTGGTGCGAAGCCCAGGGACCCCAGCAGCTGGCACAGCTGTGGGCTGCCGGCAGAATGGGCAGGGCACAGCCTCTGTGCCAGGGAGGTTTGTGGGTTGGGCAGCTGCCAGCCGGGCCAGGCACTCTAAGCAGAAGACGTGGGTGCAGGAGAGTTCCTTGGGTGTCTTGAAGATGTTGTCATAGCCTGAGAAGCAGATGGAGCACTCCAGAGGCGAGGCCACCCGATCCAAGCCAGGGGTGCCGGGGGACCTGGGGCTGCCAGCTGGGCTGGAAGACCCAGGCATGGAGGAGGCTGTGGAGCTGCTTCGGCAGGGGTGCGGCACAGCATGACCTGATGCCATGGCTCTGAGCTGCAGCACAAGCACAGGTCATTGTAAGTAATTCCAGGGGCTCCTTCTGGGAGGTCAACAAGTAACTCTCTTTCTTCCTCTATATTTTCCAGCATCAGCCCCACAGATCAGGAAGGACATATCGCCCTGTGGGCCCCTCCAGGGCTCCTTCTGTCTGTATCCGAGGTCTTCTGTCCACATTGTAACCCGTCCTCCCCAACGTGACTCAGACCTGGAAGGCCCCACAGGGCTACAGATATGGAAGCCATGGGCCCGGGGCTCTTGCTGATGGCTGAGTGGGTGCCTTGGTCAATGGTGGCCCTTGGTAGTCCTTGTTCCCTATGGGCTGTGTGGGGCAATTCAGAGCCCTATGTGAAGGCAGCTCGGGGCGGGGGGGGCAGGCTTCCTGCCACTAGAGGAGGTTTGAACTTGGATCCCAGTGGGCTTCTGGTTTGGCCAGGTATTGAAAATGCCCCCTCAACTATAGCCAGAGGAGTGGGGTGCAGCTTAAGACACCTGCCCTGGTCCCCACACTTCAGGGTTATACATCTGGCTGCTGAGAAGGAAATGGGATCACGGGACCCAGGACCTTCCTTTTACAGGCTCCACTCTACTTCCCTGGCCGCCCTGAAAGAGCCTGCTGTCCAAGGCCCACCTGGCCCTGTCTGCGCCCCTCTTTGGGACAGGTCTCCAACTCCTAGAGCCACAGGTATCCCACCTGGAGGCAGGTAGGTAAGGGGTGCCATCTTCCACCTCCGAGGCCCTGGCCCAAGACCCCATGGAGCCTAGATGGCCACACCATCAGTGACCAGGCTATGCCTGGCCTGATCCTCACCTGCTGGTCATTGGTAGCTGAAATGGCTCAGGTGTTACTGAACTGTCTCTGTGGCCATGTGGGTCATGTGACATCACAGTGATGTCACGAGGGCCCCAGGTTCCTAGCATGTGATGTCACATATCCTACGACAGCAGTGGTCTTGGCAGGGTCTGGGAAACCTCAAGGTTGCTCTCTCCCACTTGCCCCTCACAGAACCGGTTCCCTGTCATCAGGCCTCACCCTTCTCAAGGTGCCCCACCCTGAGCCTGTGCAGGTAAAAGGTAAGATGCTGAACCGGACTCACCTGGCACCTGGGAGTCAGTGGCTCCTGGACATGGTCCTCGCTGGCCACAGCAGGGCTCTGAGACCCTGGGCTCTGCAGTTCCAGCAGTGTTCTCTTCCTCTCCTCCCAGGCCAACCTGACCTCCACTCCAGGTGTTCCTCCAAAGACCGGTGCCCAGTAGCTACCGTGTCACCAGTCTGGCAGGTGTGCGCTCAGCTCTATGGCGGGTAGAGATGCACGTGTCGTCCAGTCCCGAGCTCCGCTGCAGGCTGCTGTGGGTTCTCAGGGTGTCAGTTCCAGCAGGTGAATTTATACCCTCCAGGTCATGCCCGCCCAGGGTGTGGCCAGAGCCCAGGGATTGGCTGATTGCTGCCCTTCCCAGCAGGCAGCCATGGGAAGGAGAGAAGCAGGTGACGGTCAAAGCAGGCATGTCTAGGGTAAGACAGGCCACTTCAGCAGTCTGAATGGCGGAGAGTGGGTGGACATCCTGTCCACCTGTGTCCTTCCCAGCACCCCATCCTGCACCTTCTCTCTTGCCTGCCCACACACTCTCACACGCATGTCCCAGGTCCACAGCCTCTGTGGAACTCCCTGCTTTAAGGTCCAGGAAGCGGAATGAGAGGTCAGAGATGGGCTGGGCCTGGGCAGTGGCCTTGAGGGTGAGGTTCCTGGGCTGTGGGGACACTGTCCTCTGGTAAGGTTACCTGCACAGTGAGAGTTCGGCTTTCTCACTCTGGCCCAGAATCATGGGCCTGCACAGAGTGAACCAGACCTGCAGCCTGTGGACTCCACTGCTGAAAGCTGTGCCCTGGGCTCATGGCTGTCCTCATACCCACCCGTCTGGGGCCCACTGGTCACCTCAGTGGCCTGGGCTGGGAAAGGCCCCATAGTGCAGCTCCCTGCATACTGTACCCCAGACCAAGCCCCAGAGGGCTGAGGGTAGGGGTCCTATCAGAGGGGGACCTGAGCTCAGGAAGGGACTGAGGCTCCCCACCTGTCCCATGACAGAGACGAACTCCAGGGAGAGATATGAGGGTTCTGGGAGAAGTGTGGGTTCAGACAGGGAGGGCGACTCAGGGAAGAAGAAGGGGCCCAGGGAAGGGGCAGGGTTCAGGAAGAGGTGAGGTTCAGGGTCCAGGGTCACTGAGGGCCTAGGGGACCTTAGAGACCTGCTGAGAGACCATCTCTGGGAGTGAGTTTGTGGTTCATGACACCCTGTCACATGCCACCCAGAACTCACCTTGAGTCCCAGCTGCTCAGGACCGTCCTTCTGAGGGCTTCTGTGAATATCCAAGCTCTGAGGTCACTGGGCCTCCTCAGAGGATAGACAGTGCCCAGAGGCCAGGTGACAGCAAGGCCTGAGAATGTGCAGGGCCTCCCTGAAGAGGTGGGGCCAGGCCTAGGAGACCAAGCCAGCAGTACAGGTGTCTAGAGCAGTAGCTGGGCTCACCTGGCCCCATCCTGGCCAGCAGGAAGCAGGGAACACACAGCAGGAACTGAGTGACAATGTGTGGGCAAGTGTCCCCACACCAACATAGCAGCGGGACAGTGTGCCTGTGTGAGGCGTGTGGGTGCCACTGTATGCATCAGGACCTGACTGTCCCCACCCCAGTCACAGGGCTCCCTGGACAAATGTCCATCGTGATTTGGGCTGGACACAGTGCTGTCCTGGGCAGCTGAGCCCAGGTGAGAGTCAGCTGTCACCCAAGTCCACCATGGTCATAACCTTTCTGCCACCAGGGCCTTGTCAAGTCCCTGGCAATATGCTGGCAGGGTGGAGCCAGGGCAGAAAAGCCTTCCAGAGCCAGGCTCATCAGGCCCAAGCCCTACGGGGCTAGCGCCAGCCACTCTGCATCCCAGTTGCTGACAGGGGAGGTGTGTGCACACCCACAACAGGGCCCCTACTTGGGCCTCAAAGTCCTCCCTGCAGACTCAGGTGTCGGGGCTCTGGGGCTGCAGGTAACCATGGGCTTGCCTGCTCAGGCTCCCACCTTTTGGGTAGGTAACCTCTTACGCCCACCAGTGAGTGCAAGGTCTCACAGGTCCTAACCTACCTGCTGGGCCTGCCCTGTGCCAGCCACCCCAGGCCTCCAAGGCCACTCCCAGCACTCCTGTGGGTCCTTCCTTGCTGTCCCCTACCCTCAGTCAGCTCTAACAACCACTCTCGATGACAGTAAAGCCATTGAGCAAGCAGGAGAGGGAACGAGGGCTGGAATGAACCCTGGTTTCCAGTCTGAGCCACGGTGGAAGTAGAATGGACCCAGCACAGCGTGGCAATGGCCTGTGGGGCCACTGAGGGAGACATGGGGGAACGAGCCCTGACTGTGCCCCTGATTGGTGCACCCCTTGCTGTCTTCTCTGCCTTTAGCGTCTCATCAAAAATGCCCTGGGGACCTCGAGGCCCCTCATCTGGCCTGGCCAGAACCCCCAGGATGGCTCAGGGGCAACCTAAGTGCAGAGAAGAGGTGCATGGGACAGACTCTCCCAGGCCCCTGCTGCCCTTCATGCCCTATCTCCCCAGGATCCTTGGTCCCTTAAACAGAAGGGTTCAGTCTAGACCCTCACTCCATGGTCTGGCAGGATCCTGCTCCCCAGTGCTTCCCTGGAGCCCAGGCCAGTGGGAGAGGGACATTCCCCATGTGTCTCAGGAGCTGGAACCACAGGCTGGGGTCCAGAGTCAGGTGGTAGTAGGTGTTTGAGGTACTAGAACAGAGGCCCAGGGTAGTGATGAAGCAGGGACTGGATCTTATGTCCCAGGCATGCTGCTGTCCTCTGGGGAATCCTCAGTCAGCAAATATTCCCATGCCGCAGGCCTCTCCAAAGAGCCATCCATCCACAGGTTTGGAGGGTTCTGTGTTAGGCCTGGGTGGCCAGGCACAGGGACTTTGCTCTTTCAAGGGTGACTCTCAGTCCACACGCTGCCCATGTGCAGCCTCTTCCCAGGGGCTCTGGTGTGCAGTGCTCAGTGGGCCTGTCTGCACCCCTTGTCAGGTCTCACCAGTCAGAGCCATCAGGAGGAGGCAACCACATTCTCCCCTTCTTTCACCATGGGGTGGGTTTGTCCTACAAGAGGCAGCTCAGGGCAAGCCTCACCAGGGGATGTCCTGAAAGGATGGGGCTGCACTTGGGGAACAGGCCTAAGAGACAGGGTGCCCTCGAGGGTGGGCTGAGCTCTTCCATGCCCTGCCAGGGGCCTCTCCCCACTGTTCTCTGTCCCAACCCCTGCATATGGTCGTGGAGTAGGTGGCAGGGACCTGGATAGGCGTGGGACCTCTCACATGCAGAGAACAGATGACCCTTGGGAGGGTGAGAAGACCCAGAAGACAGAGACTTCCAAGGGTTTACTAGATCCGACTTCACACAGGTGGCCTGCACCCTGACTAGGGAAGAGGCTGTCAGTTCTTGTCCCCAAGGAAGCTACCAGGGTCGATGAGCAGATGAATGGTAAACTCCAAATGTGTATCATGGTGCCAAAGGGTCAGGCCACTCCAACATGGGCCAGACACTGAGGGAGATGATGCTGGACATTCCAAGCCCAGCACATAGGAAGGAGATGGCTGCGTCTTCTACAGCAACCTACATCTTGTGCCCCTGGACAAGGGCCACGGCTGGCATGCCACTGGCAGCCCAATGAGGCCAGTCACTGGTGGCTTCAGGTGTGGGCACATCATTGTGGGTGCCTGGCTGTTTGCTGGCTGCAGGTTGCCCCTGTGGACAAAGGTCTGCCTGACCTAGGCTGAGGACCTGGGCTCTGAGTACAGCAACATCTTGTGCCTCTTCTATCAACCAAAATTCCAACAGAAGGCTGGGCAACACCTGGAGGCATGATGCTGTGCCTTGTGGTCTTGGCCACCCTGGGGCGGTTCGTCCACGGCCTCAGCCAGGAAAGGCCATGTCTTCCCTGACAGCTGATCCTTGCTCTTACTCCTCTTAGATGGGTTTGTGAGGCTTTTTTGCTGGGAGTGTCAGGGTCTGCCTGGTCTCCCCATCCTTCTGAGGAGCAAAGCAGCCTAGGGCACCGGCAGGCCAAGCTGGTCCAGAATTCTGTCTGTGTCTCCTGAGGGCCTGCACCTTACTCCTTGCTCCCAAGTGACCAAGTGGTCCATTAACTGAGCAGCATGGGAGGGACGAAACAGGGGATGTAGGCTCCTGCTCAGCTTGTAACTGGGAGACACATTTGGCCTGTGCCAGGCCCCAGGTGATGTGCCTGCTGCTGACTCATCCAAGGAGTAGCCCCTGGCTCCATGGTACAGGGTGATGGGGTCTCAGCTGGCCTCCTGGTCAGACGTTGCTGATGCGGGCATCCACTGCAGGAAAGGTAGTGTCCACAGCCCTGTCTGGGGGCCTCTCACGCCTCACGTATCTAGGCTTCCGCACTGAAACAGGGTCAGAAACAAGCTAGGTCAGAGTCAGGAACCACCCATGGCTGGGTCTGCACCAGGGTTCTGGGAAATCAGGTGGGCCACTGCAGGTATGAGGTTACCATGGGCCCATTTACTCAGGCCAGGGGGAATTGGGGCTCCTTGCCCAGAGTTTTCACCAGGGCCCACCTCTGCACAAGACAGCTCTCCAACACACATTCCTTGGCCCTGTATCCAATAAGGCCAGCCCAGTTATCTCTTAAGGCAGAGGCATAAGTCAGGTCTGCAAGGTAAATGCAGGGGGCAGGAAAGGGTCCTCCCAAGACAGATCCATGTCTCAAGTCCTAAGGTCCATGAATGTGGCCTCATTTAGAAGAAAGAAGTGACTAAGTTAGGCTCTCAGATGAGACCATCCTAAATCCAGTGGCCAGTGGCCATTGTCCCTAGAGGGAAACAGAGGGACAAGGGAATGGAAAAGCTACGATGGGGAGCAGGAGCTGGAGGAGACGGTAGAGACTCCAGGGCCTCGGAGCCAGTACCCACCTCAGCACCTTGATTAACTTCTGGCCTCAGAACTGTCAAGAGAATCAATTTGCTGTTCAGCCTGTCTGTCTGGCTACCTTGCCCTTGGCCGCTGTGAGCCTCTGTGCTATCAGAGGTGCCTAAAGCTGAAGCTCAGAGAACTTGGGACAAATGCTGTTTAAAACGGAGCAAGTCTGGCGCTCTGGGTGATTCCAGAAGAAACAGGAGTGCGACATGAACATGGGGAAACAAAAGAAAGCAAAAAAGTATGCGACCATAAAACAAATGCTTAAGTCTCAGAGATGAGAGACTCAAAGGAAATGATAGATTAGGAGCCAGGAATTTATGGCAAGTGCGTGGTCCTGAGTTCAATACCCAGTACCAAAAAAAAAAAAAAAAAAAAAAGATAGATTAAAACCTAAAAAGAAAAGAAAGATGCCAGTGCTCTAAAGGGAGTCCCCCAACATCCTTCCTGCTTATTCTTCCAATATTACACAGCCGGGCCCTTCTATCATATCCTGGTTGATACCAGCTTTATCAACTTTTCTATCAAAGCCAAATTGGACTTAGTATGATGGACTGGGGTGTATGCCAAGTGTATCCCTTGTATAACTGATTGTGTTATGGCTCGAATTAAGAAATTGGGACAGATGTATCGAGTGGCTCTAAGGATTGCCAAGGATCCACGATTTGAACGGTTACTTTGCACACATAAAGGGACCTACGCAGATGACTGCTTAGACAGAGTAATTCAGCACAAGTGTTACGCTGTGGCCGTGGATGACCCAGACCTTAAAGGGAGAAGGCGGAAGATCCCTGGAGTTCCCATCATGTACATTTCTAACCACAGATACAACACTGAGCTTATGCCAGATTACGGAGCCCCTCACTCTAACTCTTGTAAGACAGCGTTCCTCTGCCTTCTTGCCACCACCTTTCTGTTTTCAATTCACTGAACATGCTACAGCATGAATTACTATCCACCTATTTGCCCTTTTATCAGCTGAGTATGGTTAAATACATTCATTTTTTGATGCTTTTTTTTTTTTTTTTAAATGAGGCAAGTCTAGTCTTGATCCAGGTGCTGCTTTGTCCCCAGTGGAGAAGGACGTTGTGGCCTTGCTTGGTCCTGTGCCAGATCTTTGTATGGTGGGAAGACTGCAGGCTGGGAAAGGGGGCTGGGTGATTCAATTCTGGGGCTTACTGTGGTATGACCACAGGCCAGTCACCTAACCTGCATCCTATGACCTCTTCCACACAGGGGTCTCACCCGCTTAGGGGTACTTGGTGGGGCAAGGCCCAGCGGCTGACCTACACTCTACCTCTCAGGCAGAGCTTGCTTGAGTGGGCTGGAACATGGCAGGGAAGGGTCTGCCCATGCGGGGTTCTCCTCTCTCTGGGTCAGCCTAAGTACAAGGGTGGACAGCATGCAAGTCATGGGGTTTGGTGGTGGAGTACCCACTGAGCGCCCATCCCCAGCCCTGCCTTGGGAACGGTCTCTTGGAGAGCTCTAGGGATAGCTGCAATCTCAGAGACAGGCAAACCCCCGAAATGCCTGTGTCTACCAGATGGACTCTGGTGGTGTGGTGCTGTCTTTACCTGAGGACTGAGGCGCAGGGATCATCGCAGCCTTGAAAAGGAAAGAAAGGCAGTGTGAGAGGCAGGTGGCCAGCGCTGCATGCATAGCCCTGGACATGGGGATACTTACAGCTTCACTGGGCTGTAGGGCCAGGGCTGTGGGGAAGGAAACGCATGTCAGTCCTGGCAGGGGCAGGCAGTGGCCTCCAGGGCCAGGGCCGAGCAGGTCTACCTGCCTTTGTTCCTGCTACCTGGCTGGTGCTCGCTGCATCTCCCAGTGCCCCAGGGACAGCCACCCGCCCCGGACCCTCCTTCCTGCCTCCCAGCAAGAGGACAAGCCAGGAAGGTCATTTTTCTAGCTGCCACAATAGGACATGGGAGGCAATCATCTCCAGTGTCTTTGCCTCGGGTGGCACCTAGGGCCCTTGGGGTACCTGCCTTGGGGGTTCATTGGGATGCCCTGACCCACCACTTCATCTCATTTTTTTCTGTGCTGTGGCCCACAGAGCCAGCCAAGCCCAGTGTCTGCCTTGTCTGCCAGTGGTCTGGGGAGGCAGAGGTACTGGGTGGGCATGGGTGTAGGACTTCTCATGGTCAGTTGTGCAAGGCCTCACAGAGCTGATTCTGAAGTGCTTGTCTTGACTGGCACTGGCCCAAGATCACCTCAGGTTATCAGGTCTCTGGGGCACCTATTGGCAGGCTGGAAGTGAGGGGAAAGGGACACCTGCACCTGAACTATGCCCCTGGGCACCACCCATTCCTCAAGCAGGCCCACGTCCCAGCAGCACATTGCTGGCCAGATGACTCGGAAGTACCTTTGTCACTCCTGTAGAAGATCTTGGGAAGCTTACTGGAGCGCTTGAGGTAAAAGAACCCAGCCACGGAGAGGATGAGACCCATGCTGATGAAGAATGTTCCCAGAAAGAGGGAGACCGCCACTCGAGGAGCCCCTATGGCAAAGCAACAGCCAGCCATGGGGAGTCTGTGGAGCCCGGGGCCCTTGCTAACACCCTGGGGGGCTGCTGTTCCCTTTGGTTACCTCTGAAGGTCCAGCATACCTGGTCAGAGTCTGGGGATGCTGCCCTGTCCTCCGGCCCAGCCTTCTTGAGGCGTTAGGAGGCTGGGGGAAAGCAGCCCCCTGGCTAACTCCAAATGCACCCAGGCCTGGGCTCTCCATGCCCCTTGGCACCCTCATCTCTCCACTGTCTGGAGCATACCCCCTTGGTCACTGCCAACTGGGAAGGTACCTTTTTCACCCTGAGACACAGGGGCAACCCATCAACTTGTGCCTGGCTCATTAGACCAGCACTGTGATAGGGGGACGAGATATCTGTCCAAACCGGCCGCTGCCCTGTGTAGCTGACTTCAGTATTCTGGTCAGTGCTGGGCCTGGGCCCCCTCAAGTATACTTTCTGGTGAGGTGAGAGACAGGCAGAGCCCCTCAGATCAAAATTCCAAGCAAAACCAGTCTAGCACCACGTTGAAGAGTCTCCTGTAGCAATGGAGTCACCTGGAAAGGCAGCTTTGCACTGGAGCTGGGGGCTGTTAACTGACTGCACGTCTGGGTGCCCCTTTGCTTGGGTGCCCAGCCCTCTCCTCGCTCCAATCCCAGCTCCAGGGTCAGGCCCTTCTGCCAGTTGCATTTCTGGTCCAGCCACTTCCACCCACCAGGCCACACCCTGGCCATGCCTTTATCAGGCCACACCCTCCTTCCTGCCTGCTAGGCCTTCCTTTCAGGCAGAACTGCAGATCTTGGAGACTCATCTCCCCCAGGACAGGGCAGGTGGTGAGGCAGGTGTTATGGCAGGCATTTCTTCCTGGTGCGTGTCTTCCCTGAGGCCCACACCTTCAGAGTGATTTCCACTCCCCACAGGACTTGCTGGGGGCTGGAGCCTACCCACCAGGCAAAAGCCAAATGTGAACAAGCAACAGTGAACCACAAACTGCAGCCTCTGAAACTGTGGGAGGGGTCTGGCACCTCTCCAGGAGTGCCACTCCTAACATATGCTTCTACCTAAGCCAAGTGATGCCAGCCTTGCTCTGTAGGATTCTGCAGGCCACATTGTGACCAGGGCTCCTGCCACACAGCTCACAGTGGGCCTGAGGCTGACCTACACCTGCACTGGCAAAAGCTCTGACATTTTCTTCTACACCTCAGGATCCAGGCAGAGGCCTGGCTCAAGTCTGGGGCTTTAAGAGACTTACCAAAATGTGGCTGGCCAGGCGTCCCTGTGCTCCTGTTCATGGGAAACTGAGCACCCCAGCCAGAGACTGTGGGAGAACAGAGCTGAGGAGAGGTGGACCCTATCTGGGCCACCCCACCCCACCTGAGGGGCATCTTGGGCTGGGTGTGCTGCCGGTGGAGTAAGCCTCAGCCCAAAGTTGCCCCAGTGGACGGAGGACTCAGGAGGGAACTTTGGGGGCTGCCCACCAATGGACAATACTTCTGGGCAAGGTGGGTCCCCACTGCTGGAGTCAAGAACAGCAATGCTCTAGTCTCCCTAAACTGAAGGTGTGGCTGGGTGAGGTGAGAGACAGGCAAAGCCCCTCACTGCAGGTGGCACAGCGCCTGCCTGGTAAGGGCGAGAGGCAGTGGGGCAGCTGGACGGAGACCTACGGCTTCTGCACTCGGAGGCGTTGTAGGCTGGGAAGGTCCCATTCTGGCACCGCACGCAGCTGATGCTCCCATCTGCACTCCCACGCCTGTAGCAGCCTGTACCAGGGAGGACAATGTTTCTCAGGAAAGCAATCCAAGCCAGCTCACGGTCTCCTGGAAGTTTTTCTGTGTCTTGCTTTGTCACACAACCTTCCTTCAAGAGCACTAATATGGGGGAAATAGGGTAAAACTGGCACAGGGAAGGGTTCCAACAGAAGGGCATCTTGTCCTCACTCAGGCTCTTTTTTTTTTTTTTTTTTTTTTTTTTTTGGTCTTTTTCGTTTTTACCGGTACCGGGGATCGAACTCAGGACTGCCTGCTTGCAAGGCAGGCGCTTATGCCGCTGAGCTAAATCCCCAGCCCCTTCACTCAGGCTCTTGCTGCTGAGGAGCCCATGTCTTTCTGGTCACTGCAAGAGGCAATTTAGAGAGGCTAGTGATGGGTATCCAGTTATAGGACTATGTGATGGCCTAGTATGGAGGGCTGCAGGCCTGGCCCTCACTTCCCGCCTCATCCACTACATCTCCCCAAGACCATTACCTCCAAGGTGTGGACACCACTGCCATGAACACCAGGCATCTGCCATCAGGCCCCATGTGGGGTAGGCACAATATCGATTTGTCATCCCTGCACCTTCCCCAGGGTCTGTTTCAGGTTCTCTGAAGGATCGAGCCAAATTTCCACCTCTCACTGCTGCCCAGAGCCTATTCTCTCCCTGCCAAGATGCTGGGAGCAACCTGGCCACTGACTGATAGACGGCTGTCTTCCAGCTTCCTTTGAGGATGGAGACTGACTCTTACACCATTACCTCTTTCCAACACCTTCAACACTTAATACAGGCTGGGCAGATACACGCTCCATAAACAAGGACTGTGAGTGCCGAAAGTGGCGCTGGACCCAGAGTAGTACCCAGGCCTATGCCACAGGCCCAGGCCTTTCACACTGAACTTCATGCACATTTAATTTAAGCAAATAGGGCCCTTGGTGAAATGAGTCTTCTGTGTCACACAGGCAGTGTGACACCAGGGAGAAAGGACCCGAGAGAGACATCACAGGGCAGCGCTAGCAAGGCTGCTAGCAAATACACTGGGCTGGAGGACATGCAGCCAGCTCTTAGTTTCTCCACTGGGTTGAGCTATGTACCTTGACATGGAGTGGGTCAGGAAGAGGCTGCCTAAGCAGCTGCCCACCCTGGCCATGAGAGGTAAGAGTGGGCACATAGGGAGGGCCCCCTGGGAGGCAGTCTACTCAAATCTCCTCCCAGGAGGCCAAGGAGTCCAGTGGGGTCCATGACAGATGTAGAACCTACTGCTATACCAAGATCCTTCCCAAAAGCTTCCTTCCACTGCTCTGTGCTAAGAAGCAACTGGGCCACGGCCAGGGAGAAGGTAGGGCCAAAGAGGTGATGGTGGTCCTGGGTCCAGGCCCAAGGGCTCCTGTGTCTCTCCACACAATTGCTACTCTGTGCCCACTTTCCCAGGACTCCCATTCCACTTTCAGCTCTCACTGCTGCCTTCCTGCCAACCGATGCCCAGATGGCCAGCCCCCGAGCCTCTGGACTCTGCCTCTCTATTGCAGGCCCCATCACAGCCTCCACAGCTTAGGCCCCATCACAGGTTCCACCATACCCTCCCCCCATGGCAGCTGGCCAGCCTTCTCAGGGTACAGCTTGCCTGGTGAGCAGCCACCCTGGATTCATGCCCTCTTTCCATGGGGGTGTAATAGACCCCAGGACAGGGTTGCTTAGGCCTCCACTACTGAAATGATGATGCTGAGCTGTTCCAGCCTGAGTCCACCATAGCCCACAGCCACCTCCTGCTCCAATTGATGCCCTCATCCCCTGCAGAGACTTCCTGGCACTGGACAACAGAGAGCGATGGTAGCCTTGGAACCATTTCAGTTGAGTCCACCCTTTCCCATGCTGCCCTAGCTAGCTTCTCCAGGATGCCTACAGCAAGGCGGCTCAGCCAGGCCCCATTGCCCAACATTCCCTCTGTGCTGGTCACTACTGAGAAGGAGCAGGCAGAGTTATGTATACCACCTGTGGACCCTAGTGGTTTGGTCACTTATCTGGCACCTGCTTATAGCAAAGTGGCTTACCTGGGCCACACAGATTTGTGCCAGGGCAGGTGGCATTGATGTCTAACACATCCACACAACACTCTGGCTGCTGGGCCTGGAGAGGAGACAGTGGTGAGACTGCAGGTAGCAATGGGGAAGGTGGCTCCCTGCATATGGTCCAACATCCATGGCCCATCTCCCCCAGAATCAGTGCCAGGAGAAGCCTGGCTCTGCGGGCACAGGAGCTCATTCACTGACCCCCTGCATGGCACCAGAGGGAAAACTTCAGTTACGGATGCAAAGAACCAAAGCCAGAGAAGTCCCAGTGCAAAGCAGAGCTGAGGCTGGGCTTCCTTGAGTGTGATCTTTATGGCACCTGGACTCAGCCCTGTCATAGCACACAAATCTCTGACTCATCCTCCCTATGGGCTCCGGGAGCCCCTCAAAGGTACTGGGAAGCACTGCATTTGAGCTGTGTAGGATATGTGGCCAGTGAGATTTGATGACTGAATAAATGGTAGACAGCAAGGACTGTCTGATATATTCTTTTTTTTCTTTTTCTTTTTCTTTTTTATCGGTACCGGGGATCGAACTCACGACTGCCTGCTTGCAAGGCAGGCGCTTATGCCACTGAGCTAAATCCCCAGCCCTTGTCTGATATATTCTAAACAGGCATGAGACTCTGATCTGCAGTCTGGGCCTCAGGCAGCATACAGGCACTTGGGCTCAGAACACAAAACCCCAAAAGATACCACCTTGGTGCTTGAGAACACAGATGCAGGTCTCTCTACTCATGGCCTCAGCCCTTGAGCAGTCTTAAGGCTCTCATGGAAGATATGCCTTCCCAGCCTAAGGACAGGAGGGCCCTTCTTGTGGAAGACAGGAACTCAGGGAAGAGTCTCAACTAGCCACTGGCCAGGGGCCCTTTCATGAGCAGGACTGTCCCTCTTCCTCAAGCCTGGCTATCACACACAGGTGTCTTTTTTTTTGTATCTCCATTCCATGTGGAGGCTCCCATGTCACATAAATGTGCTTTTTTCTTACTAATCTGCCTGCTGGAGCCCCAGCCATGAACCTTGTGGTGGGTGAAGAAAACACATCTCTCCTGCCTACACGGAGCAAGGGGGATGTCAAACCCCAGCTGGGGCTCCTCCTGGGCTGTAGCAGTCCTGTGGTTGGCAGGGTCTCCTCTCTCTACCCTTTAAGGTCTTGACAGGGAGGTGGTGGCAGCCGAGTGCTCTCTCCACATGGTGTCCCTATTCTGGCCAGAGCTCTCCAAGCTCTGCCTCTTTGGGCCACAGGTAATCACAGGGCAGAGCATTCTAGTTGGTGAAATTATCAATCAGTGAAATCACTTATATTACTCACCTCCTAAAACATTATGTTGAACAACTATTTTGAGGACAATACTATGCAATATAATAACCATTGTTAATTTGCTATTGTCTTGTCTTGAAATTTTCTGTCATACTTATTTATTAATTTATTTTTATTCTCTTAAAAAATCAAGCTGGGTGTGTGGTGCACATCTATAATCTTAGCACGAGGGAGGCTGAGACAGGAGGATTATTGTGAGTGTCACCACTGCTGTTCTACACACAGCAAGCAGCTCCCACAGGGTGGATCTGCAGGGACCTTTGGTCAGCTGTAGCAACAAGTAGCTTGGCAGAGAAACATCTGGGAGGCAGCAAAACAGGCACAGGGTGGGGCGCAGCCCCTCCACCGGGTGGCTTCATCTAGAACCCTGGAGATAGGCATCAGGGACCTCCTAGGCCAACTGAAACTCCAAAATAACTCCTTACTGCTGTTCACATAGTCATGGACAGGAGGACCAACCTTGTTTTCTGTAGACTTGCTGGCAACTCCCACCAGAAGGCCAGCCAGGAACGTGAGGCACTGCAGAGCCATGCCAGGGAGCAAGAAGACAGCAGGGTCTGTGCAAGAGAGGTGAGTAGAGAGGGCAGGCGGGGCAGAGGCACAGGTGCAGCCCCGGAGAGGCTGGAGGGTACAGTCTAGTCAGGGATCTGGGGTGGGGAGTGGGGCTGAGACAAGACAGAGCAGCAGTATGAAGGGGGTTGGGCTTCCCTGGGAGTGTGGAGGGGTTTACACCGGAGGATGGGGATGAAGCAGGGAGAAGGCAGAGCCTAGTGGGTAGATGGTGGGTGGGTTTGTGGGTGGCCTTGTGGGTCAGCTGCCACCCAGGGCTCTGGAGCAGTAGGTGCAGATCGGTTGGAGGTGCTCTTACCTGCCCTTCTAGGATAAGAGCTGCGAACATCGGCGCAGGTCCCCAGGGCAGCCAGTGGTCAGCACAGCTTGGGCTGCTGAGTCACGTGGAGCTCATGGACCTGACCTTTCTGCCCAGCAGGCCAGATGAGTACATGAGGCTGCAGTCCCTGAGAAGAGAACTTCCTGGCAGAAAGGGCTCGGAGCCCAGGGAGGGGCAGCCCGGAGTACCCTCTAACAACTCCACCAGGTCAGGGTCCTAGAAGCAAGGCCATTTGCACCTCTGATCTCTGATTCACAGATGTTGACCTGTTCTAGTCAAACTCCGCTCCTATCTTGAGCATGGTCTCCCACGGTCAGTCTCCCCTTGGGTGGCTGGGGCCTCGGCGTAGACCAGGACTTCAGTGCGAGTGTTCTGCCTTCATCAGATCTGGGCCACAAAAGTTACGCATCCAAATCAACGGCCCCAGGGCTACTGGGTATAATAATTTCCAGTCATGGGAAGAAGACCCAGAGGGCAAGCTAACTGGAACACACAGCAAGCAGACTTCTCAAGGCTCAGACACTTTGTGCTCGAAGTCCATAGGACTTCATGCCTGCCACATTTCTGGCAAAATGGAAGAGACGCTTGCACCCACTACACAGGCTTGTACAATTTCTAACAACTGTGAACTCACAAGGCAGAACTCATTATCCATTCTAACACAGCTAGGTCAATACTTCAACATAAACGTTACCTCTAAGGTGACTCTTCCTGGGCAAAGGCAGCTGTTGAGCAGAAGCAGTCGCGCCTGTGTCTCAGCTCCAAGCTCGACTCCAGCAGCAGTGTCCTGCCTGCTCCAGGATGGTCCTCAGAAAGGACGAAGATGTTTCTGTCTAGGGTGGGGAATAAGAACCATGCTTTTGGACTGGCTAAAGGGAGAGGTCATGGGGTCCACAGGCCTTGGGGGTGAAGGCTCAGAGGGACTCAACAGGGAGTGGTGGGATCTGTCTTGTCACTCATGTTATGGAGATTTAGCTAAGGGCTGTGGGTAGTGAAAACACTGTGTTGGTGGGAGGTGGGCAGTGTTGCTCAGATGGCAGGAAACCTCCTGTCCCAAAGGGAATGGGCCTTTCCTACAGGAGTTTTAGCTATCCACTCCACTAACAATGCATGCTTTCCTTGTCCAGTGCAAGGACACAGTCACAGCCTGGGCATACCGCATCCACAGGGTATGAGAACATCCCTTCTTTTTGTCTGTTAGGTATTTGCTTAGCACAAACTTTTCTTTGCCTGGAGAAAATACCTAGTGTCCTGGACCCTTTTGTTCACTTTCTAGGCAGAAGCATCCCAGGGGCCAGGTCAAATCACAAAAAGAACCTAAAGTCCAAGAGTTCCGTCAACATTTCCATCTGCTACTTGGCCAACTTTATTTTTTTCATTCAAGCAGATCACAATATGTGCACCTTCGTGTCTGGCTCTTCATCAGTGTGTAGTTTACGCGTACTCTTCATTTCACTGTGTGGATATAGCTGACTTTTCTATGCACCACCTGCTGACGGATATCTGGGCTGATTCTGTCCTTTGGTGACAATGAGTAAAGGCACTACAAACACCCTGGTACACTTATTTGTGTGGATATGTTTTCATTTCTTTTAGGTAAATACCCAGAAATGGAACAGCTGGAACCGAGGGAGGAGTATTGCATGTTTAACTTTTTGATGCTGTCAAACTGTGTTCCACAGTGATGGTCCATTTTACCCTCCCATCAGCCAGGAGGAGACATCAGTTTGTATCTTTGCTAAGACTTGGTGTTAACTGGTGGCTGTGCAGCAGTAAGTCGTTGTTCTTGTTAGTTACGTTTCTCTGGTGACTAACAATGCTCAGTCATTAGCCATTGGTACATCTTATGTCAAACTAATTACTTTATTTTGTGTTATCACTGTAAACACAAAGTAACTTCTGATTATATTTTCCAATAGCTTGCTGCTTAATATGTGACAAAACACTGGCCCTAAATCAAGGCCGCCAGCTTCCTGACGCTGTTGGTTTCAAGCAGGAGCCTAAAGAGATGTCTTTCTATGATGTGTTGGCCATTCAGAACTTGGGCAGTGAAATGGTCAATTCATTAGAAATAAACAGCTTGAAACAACCCCTCCCCCACCCTCCATGAGCGGCTGTGAGCGTGGCAGGTTGTGGTGGCCCAGGACAGGAGCCACCGGCATTTACTGGGACCCACGCCATGCAGGAACCTGGAGTGCTGGGAAACCAAGCAACCCCTCCCCCTGGCTTGCTTCATTTTGTTGAACTTCAATATACATGAAAGCATGGACAGCTATTTTAAAGAGAACAAGAGACTCTATGCCAGCCATTAGTGACTTCCCTATTATCTGGTTTTGAAGACCTAAATCACCTTCCGCATTCTGTTCGGATCAGTTTTATACTATGTTGTTTTGTATAAATTCTCTGTATGCGAAGACATGGACAACTATTTGGAAGAAAACAAGAGACAATATGATAGACAGTGAAGATGTCAGGTCGCCTAGCTTAGGAATTTGTATCTCTTACATTGCTTTCTTATGTCCTATTTTGTTATGTTTTGTTGTGTTTCATTTTACCCCCTTTGAAATAAAAAAAATTTTTTTATTCTATTTTTTTTTTTTTTGTCTTTTTCCTTTTTATTGGTACCGGGGATCGAACTCATGACTGCCTGCTTGCAAGGCAGGCGCTTATGCCACTGAGCTAAATCCCCAGCCCCTGAAATAAAAATTAAAAAAGATTTTTTTAACTAAGTGACATAGAGTTCATTTTTACATATTGATTTCTGAGATATTGCTAAAGTCACTTAATAGCCCCAAAAATAATAAATTATTATTATTTTAGATTTCTTAGTCTTCTATAATCATGTTGCCTGCAAATAACTGCAATTTGTACTTCTTCCTCCCCGATCTCTATAATATAATCTACTTCCCTCTTTCCCCCTCCTCCTCATCCCGCAGCTGGGAGCATGCAGCAGCACACCTGGGGAGACGTGCTAAAAGCAGGCGGGTTCCCTTTTCTTCATTGAGGGGTGAAGGCCTCAGGGTGCACCACCGAGTGCAGTCCGGCACAGGTTTTTCACAGACGCTTTTTATCAGGTTCACAGTTTCCTTCTCTTCCTACTTTGCTGAGAGTTTTTAATCATAAAAGGATTTTAAATGTTCTCAAAAGCTTTTTCTGCATATACTGGAATAAACGTAGTAGTTTTCTCCTTTATTAATGTGGCAAATTACACTGATTGATTTAATCATCATCCTAAAAATTCTAGCAGTGCAGGAAAGAAAATGAAAGCCATAAAGATAAGAAAGGGAAACATCAAACTGCCTTCAGGATGATAGGATTGTTTTCAGGGCAAATTTCTTAAGGATTCTACAAAAAAAAAAAACAACAAAACAAGAAATTCCAAAAGTACTTTACAAGCAAATGTGGCAAATTTTCCAAATTTTTTTTATTGAGACTATCTTACTTTATCACTTTGTAAAAATTTTTCTATCAATTTTTTAAAGTCAATAAATTCCGTCTTCTCCTTTTAGTAAGTTTCCTAGAGATCAAAGATCAATACTGATCTCTCTCTCTCTCTCTCTCTCTCTCTCTCTCTCTCTCTCTCTCTGAATTTTACTGTGTAGTTCAGGCAAGCCTTGAGTTCTGTTCCAAGATTATAAAGTCAATATAAGAAATCAGGGCCAGGGGTTTAGCTCAGCAGTATAAGCACCTGCTTGGCAAACGCAAGGTTATGAGTTCGATCCCTGGTACCAAAAAAAATATATATATATATTATTTCTGGCTGAGCATGGTGGTACAAGCCTATAATCCTAGCACTTGGGGCCAGGGATTTAGCTCAGCAGCATAAGCGCCTGCCTGGCAGGCGCGAGGTCCTAAATTCAATCCCTGGTATCTACCCCCTGACCCTGCAAAAAAAATAAAAAACAAAATTAAATTAAAAAAAGAAAGTTTGTAAAAGGAAACACAAAATAGTCATGACTTTTGATCGGACAAAAACTATGTTACTGTTGTTGTTGCTTTGTTTCTGGAGACAGGGTCTCTAGTGGTAGTACAGGCTGGCTTTGAAATCACTCTGAAGCCCTGGCTGGCCTCAAATTCATGGCAATCTTCCTGTCTCAGCTTCCTGAGTGCTGGGATTACAGACACATACCACCATGCCTGGCTGGGCAGAAATTTTTGGAAAAGACACTGAAATATCAAGGAAGAAAAAAATTGATAAATTGAACTTCACTGAAATTAAAATCTCTACTCAGTTGGGTGTGACGGCACATGATTATAATCCCAGCTACGGGGAATCTTAGCTGGAGTAGGAGGATCACAACTTTGAGGCCAGTCTGGGCAGCTTACGGAAAACCTATCTCAAAATAAAAGGCCTGGCAGTGTAGTTCAGGAGTAGAATGAGTGCCCAACATACATGAGGCTCTGGGTCAATCCTCAGTGAGAGATGGGTCAGGGTGGGGCAGGAGAACACCAAACTAAACTCTGTACTCTAGTTGGTAAATTTGCCTCTGAAACTGTTTTCCACGTACACTGTGTCTAACAAATAAGTAGGTGAACAGCAGACAATTAGAGCAGGTTCTCACAACCACAGTGAAAGGTGCAGATAAGCACATTCAGATGACAGTCACACACACACACACACACACACACACACACACACACACACACACCCCTCCAGATTTGTACATCAGCCAGCTCTGTCCATTGACAGGTTCTAGTAGGAACAACACTCTAATGGCAACAAGAACACTAAGGTCTAGATTTGCATTTCCAAGACCATCTTCCTATCAATCATGAGAACTAGGGTGTCTGGGAGAAGTGGCTGACCCCAGAGCTGGGGCAGAAAATGCTTAAAATGAGCCTGGAGTAACTTACAATGCTAGAAAGAAAGGGAAGCCTCAAAACACACAGGGACAGACAAGCAGCAAAGGAAACAGCATACCTCTGAATCACAGACTAACTCACTGCCAGTGTCCACAGTGACATCAGTGAGTGGCTGAAGGGCAGATCCATGAGGCAAGAGAAACACGCCTTACCTAAGAACCTCAGATAGCACAGATACACACTGGTTTCCAGCGTGGCCCAGACAGTGACTTGCTTCCAGAGAGCAGGGACAAGGAGAAACAACTGTGTATTGGACATGTGCAGACGTCACCCTAGCCAGGCATCCAGTCACTATTCCAGGGTGGGACCAGTGGACCAGGGTTGTGTGGTGCCCTGATGGGATATGATGGTCACCTGTGGTATCCTCCCAAGAACCCAAATCCCCCCTCAACATGAGAAAACATACCAGGCAAATCAAACTGAAGGACATTCTACAAAACCCTTGACTAGTCTTCCTTGGACTAGGGAAGGAAGCCTGAGATTCTGCCATATCCCAGAGGGGTCTGAGGAGATGTGGCAACTAAATGCAAGGTGTCCTACAGAAGGAAACAAAGCCTGGCCTTGCCTGCAGAGGTTGCCCAGCTCTGCCTTCGCTGATGATTATGAGTCTAGGTGTGGAACTAATATGAGGAAAAGTAGATCCCTGAAACTTTTCCGTAAATCTAAAAGCATTCCAAATAAAAATACTTACACACACCATTAATGATGAAGAATGGGAGATAATGTCTGCAACACATGGACCTGATGAAAGCCTGTATTCAGAGTATATAAGCAACCGTCACAGTCAAGCAACTGAAAAAATGGACTGCAGACTTGATCAGCCACCAGAACAGACATCTAAACTGGTAACACAAAGAACGAGGTGTACTCAGCTCTGTTCTCTCCAGGTAATGGCCCTGTCCCTCCATGGTGGGTGCACAGGGCAGCGGCAGGTTCACTCTGGGTATTTTCCCAAGAGAAATGAAAACAA